CAGAGCTCATTTTTTGGTAAAATTATCTTTTTTAAAATATTTTCTACCTTATTTAATATATTCAACATTTACCTAATGGCCTATGCTAGGCACCTGGATTTATTTATATTCCTTTTTCATCCTTCACAATAAAACATTGACATGCAGGTAACTACCTTCCTAAACCACCAGTCCGATCCTGTCTCACACCATCTCCCTCAACCTACCTATTAACAGTTTAAAAAACAAAACAAAATGGGCAGAGGACCTGAACAGACACTTCTCCCAAGAAGACATGCAAATGACCAACAGATATAGGAAAAGACGCTCAGCCTCACTAGCTATTAGGGAATGCAAATCAAAACTACAATGGGACACTACTCCACATCTGTTATCAACAAGACAAGTAACAAGTGTTGGAGAGGTTGTGCAGAAAAAGGAACCCTCACTCACTGCTGGTGGGCATGTAGACTGGTATGGCCACTATGGAAAACAGTATGGCAATTCCTCAAAAATTAAGAATACAGGTTCAATATCCAGCAACCCCTCTTCTGGGTGTCTAGCTCAAAAATTTGAAGATATTTATTTGCAAAGACTTATGCACATGTTCATTGCAGCATTATTCACGGCGGCCAAGACATGGACAACCAGTGTTCTTTGATAGATGAGTGGATGAAGATGACGTGGTCCATACACACAATGGAATACCACTCAGCCATAAGAAAAGATGATATACTGCCTTTTGTCACAACATGGATGGATTTTGAGAATATCATGACTGCTAAGGGAAAGAAGTCAGACAGAGAAAGTCAAGAACCGTATTATTTTACTCACCTGTGGGATATGAAACTGAAAGCAACAAATGAACAAACAAGACAAAAATTCATAGACAGAAGACCTCAGAGGGTAAAGGGGGTGGGGGTGCCAAAGGGTAGAGGGGGTCTAGTGTCTGGTGATGGAAGGAGACTTGACTCTGGGTGGTGAACACAATGCAATATACGATGGTGTATCGTAGAATTGTACTCTTGAAACGTAGAATATTATTAAACGAAGTCACCCTCATAAATTTAATTAAAAACTTTTATTTCCACCCTGTCTCCATTTCTAAGTCATTATTCACCACGTGATAGTCACCCCAAGTCACTATGAGCAGTTCTAGCACATCACACGTCCTAGGGAGCGACCATTGGCACTCTCTACTCAGAGACTCCCGCCTCCTCTGTGAAATCTTTGCTGATGTCCCAATTTTATAAACACATCCTCACATAGGCCTTTTTCCTAGAATTTATTACATCCGACTGTGGTTTCTTGTTTACTTCTTTGTCTACTCCCATGACGCCGAAGTGTGGACATCCTGAGAACTGTGAGCTTTCCTTTTGGTTCATTTCATAACCATTTTACCTAGAAGAGTGTTATTTATGGATTCAATAAAGTATGCGTGGGTTCAACAAATCTTTAATAAATACTCATGACTGATATTAATGAGTGAAGCAGTGAAACATTTTAAATAATAAGTATTATCTTGAATTCCCCAAATTCCTATTAATCAGAGACCATCAACATTGTCCCTATTTTGCCTTCACTGTATGATGTTTAATGATCCAGCCTCAAAAGTTACATAGCATCATTTCCACTGTATTCACGGGGAGGGTACATGGACCCGAGCTCTCGATGGGAGAAGTGCCCCAAATTCAAGGCCATTCCAAATCCACAGTAACTGTCAGAGGATGCTAGTGAACTAACTTCTTATATTTAAAATGCATCAATAAAGAAAAAGATCACCTATTCTGCTTTTCTGACACAAACTGTATAAAGAAGTAATCAAAGAATAGGTGAAGAGAATGTTCCCTTTATAGAAATATTCCAGGCAATAAATGAGGAAGGGTAAAACTAGGATATCACTACCTTTCAGCCCCCAATGAATCCTGTATCCAGACACTGATCATCAAAGACAATTTAGAAAAAGAGAGAGAGAGAGAGAGAGACAACCAGACATTACCTATCTTATTTTGGAAGAAGAAAACACTACCTACAAAATAGATTTGGAGGAAAAATTGTCTGATTCACCTAAATCCAACTATTAACATGGAAGCAGGGAAGAGAGAACATGTTAATTGATACCTCAGGGATGTTATCAGCACAATTCAGACTCAGGGAAACTTGACAAGGTAGTCTAGTTTCTTCACCAAATAAATGGGGAAAAAGAGATGGGTGGGGACTTATAGAGGCTTGAGAGTCACCTCAACCAATCACAACCAATGAATTTTATTTGGATCCTGATTCAAACAAACAGAGCACAAGAAAACAAAAAGCATTCGCCAGACAATTGGAAATTTGAGCACTGAGTCAATATTTAGTGATATTCAGATGCTATTGTTTTAATTTTTTAGAGAAGATGATTGTGTTCATCCAAGAAAGTCTTATGTTTTTAAAACACATTTTAAAATCTTAACAGATAAAATGATATAATGTCTGACATTTTCTGCAGAATAATATAAGAGAGGAGGTCATAGGTGTGGACAGAAATCAGACTGCCCATGAGCTGGTAACTATAGAAGCTAAGTGATGATACATGAGGGTTCAATATATTATTTCATCTCTGTTTACATTGAACTTTCCCCATAACAACTATTTCATAAGTACACTTTACTAAAACTCCAGTGACCTTGCAATTAAGTCAAAACCCCTAGGTAAATTCCCCAATGCACTGCATGACCTGGCCCAGGCCGGCCTCCTCGGCATCATCGATCACCCTCCTTTTTCACCTACGTTTACACTCTATGAAACTAATTAGAGTTAGGTCTCACAGAGGACGACGATCTCTCATCCTTCCAAATGTACATAAATTTCCCCTTTTCCAGAATGCCAAGTCCCATTCTTCTTCTCCTGGCAAAATTCATTCATTCTGTCACGCTACTCATTGCTGACCTCAGGAATCTGGCTCTCCACTGTGCACCAGGGAAGGAGACCTCGGAGTGATGGATAGCTACCAGGTGCCTCTTCCAGCCGGCACGCTACCTTTCTGGGCCCTGCTTTTGTCCCTGGGAGGCTGACCCATTTACACTGTATCTGTGGTTCTCTTGTCCTCTAGCTTCCAGTTAGACTTCTGCAGAGGGAAGCCCCAGCAGAAGGGCCAGAGGACAAGGAGAGTGAGTCACTGTATGTCGGTCCCCAGCGTCCCCCCTGCCAGGGTGGCACAGGCTGGCTGCTTCCACTTAGCAAATGTTACTCCAGTCAGGGGATCCTTGCCAAATGGTTCTCTTTCTGGTACAGATGACTGCTTATTGGCCTTTGCACCTTCAGCTCAGCCAGCCAGCACCAACCATTGTTCCTTCTCATAAACCGAGTGCACACTCTGTAGAATCCCTCCATTAAACTCTCCTCTCATTACCCAATTTTAGTCTGCCTTCCATCTCCTGTGCAGATGCTAATTAAACAATTGTAAGCAAAAACAACCCAAACCCAAATCACTATAAAAAAGGGCTGGACACAGATATGGACTGAAAAGTTATAGAAGATGGAGAATAAAAAAATATTTGAGAGAGAGAGAGCATGTGCAATGGCCCTGTGGTGCACAAGCAGCAAGGGGTGTTCAAAGCCACACTTGGCTTGGAGACTACTTGAGGAAGAAAGCAAAGTGGGCAATGGGAAAGGCTGCAGAGTCCAAGAGAAATTAAGTAAAGGTTTAGATTTTGATCCCAAGAGCAATGGGGAAGTGCCCAATATTCTCCCTGCCCTCCCAAACCTGGGTAAGCAATAACGTTCTCTTAGATATGTATTCCCTGACAGCTTTCTACTACACAGTTGGGACCAGGAAGCTCTGGACATGGTACACATTCAATATATGTTCACTGAACCAGTGAATGAATCAATGAGTAAAACACACATGGCCAGGTTTGGGGCATTTTTGGTCACCTCCAAGAATTCATCTTTGCACATGAACTTCTTGAACTTATTCCTGTTTGCTCTTGGCTGAGTCTTCTCCTATAATTAACATAAAGATCTTTGGAGAGAATGAGCTGTGCATGAGCTGCAATGCTTAAAATTAGATCAATCCCAGACCAATCATTTACACTTAACCATTTCATTCTAAAGATGGCAGACCTAACAAGCAGCATCACTGTCTCAGGTGAGGGACATTGTTGCCATAGTCACGATAGGTAATTCTGTTAAATCTCAGCATCTTGAGGTGATTGGAATCCATGAGATGAGTAAAAAAAGAGGGCTTTCTGGGTTGTTTAGAACAAGAAATACAACCTTCTTGCTTTCAGGCATAAGGTATAGCACAAACCAAGTGCTAACCAACAGTTGCAAGCAGAAGTTTTATTTTAATTTGCTTTATAAACTAATACTGTGGTCTGGTTTATGCAAGATATAATGATAGGCATAACTTTGCTTTAGCTTTTTGTTATAATAAGCATAATTTTAATTGGTTTCCTCATCATTCAATAAGTTGAACTAAATGTAAAACCTGCTTGAAATTATACTTACACTATATACATTTATTTTTTATGCAAGCAAACAAAATGAAAATACGAGGTGATATCAATACTGTGAAAAGCAAATATTCATTAATGCCACAAAAATGATGCTGTTCTATATTCAGGAATTTTGTGATAATGGAGATACCTTTCTTAGGCTTAAAATGACAAGTTGAAGATAAATGCAAATGACCACTTTCCTGTTCACCTAAAAACATCAAATGGCAAGGTTTTGGCATCATACCAGTATGTCTGTGGCATGTGCTTATTAACACAAACACTTTGCATTTAATTTTGGTAGAAAATTAATCAGGAAAATTAACAAATAATATTATTTTTGAAGCTCACATAAATGTGCATCAATTTTCTTAGTGACAGAAAGAATTCATTTCTGTTTTGTTTTCTGCAAGAAACTCCATATTGCATTGTTTATAAATGGATAAGGCAGGAGAGAAACTTACACCAAAGTCATGTGAAATGGAGAAACTCTAACTGTGGTTAAAATACATTTTATTGCAATAAAAGAGTTGCATCGCTCACCAAAGAGGCCATGGTGAATCCAATGACTTCAATATAACCGTCATCATGGCGCTGAGGTTCAAAATCATGGTGGTCCCCTGGGTTCCCCCAGGGCATTGTGCCAGCACAATATCTACGAGATACAAGTAAGGACAGAATTACATCTCTTCAGCTCTCCTCATGATTATCACAGAGATTAAGTTATAGTTAGATCCAAGATTTATTTGTGGTAAGAACTGTTTTCTGTTTCTGGTGCACACCTTCCAAAGGAAAAGGAAATAGACTCATCACTGTCTCCAAAATATCATCGTATACCAATCTGTGGAAACAAGCCATGATTTTACAGCAAAAGCATTCCATGGTGCCCAAGTTTCTCTTAATTCATTATTTATCAACATGTCACTCTGTGGTTCATGTACATCTGCTTCCCACAACGTGCCATGTGTTATCAATGGTTGGTTTCAGAATTTGATCCTGGAGGGAGACATAGGCATGCCAGCCAGCATTAAAAGGAAAGAGGGCTGAGGTGCGCAAATGGTGAATGTTATATACGTAACCAGGAGAATGAGCACCCACGGCACAAGGAAAAGATAACTGAAGGAGGAAGAAAGAGTGAAGAAGGGATTTAAAAAGATACAATGTTGGAAAGGAAAAGGGAAATAAAGAAAATTGGAAAAGTAAAGGAATGGGAATCCAGAGGGGGGAAGGGACAGGAGCAAGATGAAAAAGAGATATGTAAAGAAAAGAGGAAGAAAATTAAGCAAAGTTAATGTTTCCTGAGACTCTAGGTCTTCTGCTTAAACAACTAAGATGAAAATACTTCAGGAGTGGGATTGTAAGTAACTATACTGAGCACTGCCAAAAGTAATCAGGAGGCTCTAAAATGGTTTCCCAGCCACAGATTTACATACAATTCTCGTTTTCATTAAGTTCAGTCTAAATAGAACTCATTGGCAGAGTTTGTGTCTGAGTTGCCTGGTTTGCAAATAACAGAGGGTCAGAGATCCATCCCTTCCAAAGTCTTGGCTTGGGAGCCTAGACTCTGATTTTATGCCACTGGGAGAATGTGCTTATTTTGAGACCAAGTTAATCTTAAATACCCCTTTTTCCTGAGGTATATAATAACACCAAGAGAGCTGACATCTTAGCTAGAAAATCCTACTCTAATTGATCCTATTTCTTCAAGGCAATCATCTGGCAATGATTTTGAATGACTTCCACACTAAAATCAGGCCGCATGGTTTCCTAACAGCTTTTGGGAAACTGAGAACAGAAATTTATTCAAGACTATCATTCTTAGGGGGTGGGGGATCAGTAATTTGAGAATCAAATTAAAATGTTCCAGTCCAGAGGGATGCCTGGGGTTCTTAAGGATGGATAAGTATAGACCATTCATGCTATACCATGTAAAAAAAAAATTCCAAATAACAAAAAGCACCTACCACAGCGAATACTAAAAAAACAGAGCAAGGGAACAAAATTATTGGACCTGGAAGGTTTTTACTAACCCATTGAGATGAAGGATTTTCCTTGTTTGTACCTGGAATTTTCTATAACGAAAACAGATAACCTCAAGTCAAACAGAGTTCCCAGCAAACCAAGGAAACAATATGAATGAAGCTTACCTGGGTATATTTAAAAATACTATACACTGGAACTTCAGTTCCTGAATCTTTGGGGTGAGATCTGTTCCATCACACTGAAACAATCAAATCAGAAAAAGCAAGGGTTTGGAAGTAAGCACAAGTCTAAACAAGTGATCGAAGATAAACTGAAAATGGCATGTACCGTGGTCTTCCCCCGGCCCCCGCTCTGCTTAGGTTAATGCCCTTTACTACCGTGACTGCAAATGCATTCTGTCATAGCTTCATCAGACCCAGGAGCCGGCATCATTCTTAGCCTTAGATTATTATTAGATATTTAGGCTTGTAGGGCCAACATTAAAAGATTTAGAAGTGCTTAAAATACTCAAAAGAATGGTGCCTCAGCAAGTCGGGACAGCGACCTCTGCCTCAGCTATCTGATTCAACAACAGTCGTGAATATAATGATTTACTTTGTTTGGTTTTTGAGATTAATTTTATGTTTTGAAAATGTTAAACATGTTGAAAATTGTTTAGAAGGAATACACACTGCAAGCTTTTCAAAATCTATTCTAAATTAGCGTTAACCTCTGTTAGCAATTTGCTCTTACAAAGTTAACCTCTCACAGACTTTGACTGGTCTTCTGAGATCACCTGCTTTCCTGGAGTCTGGACTTGACCCTGGGTCTCAAGAGCCTCAGGCCGGCTTGGCCTCAAATCTTTCTTTGTGGCTCCCCTCATCGGTAGTGCTTTCCTCAAGAGCATCCTCTGACTATATCACTTAGCATAACAGTGGAACAAGCCAGTCAGTGAAAGACAAATGCCATATGATCTCCCCTGTAAGAGGAATCTAATGAACAAAAATAGAACCACAGGCATGGAAACACGGAGCAGACTGAAGGTGACCAGAGGAAAAGGGGGAGGGAGATAATGGAGGAGAGAAGGGGAAAGGACTAGACAAAGAACGTGTATGAATGACCCACAGACATAGACAACAGTGTGTGAACTGACTGCAGGAGCAGGGGGTGGGGTGGGCAGAGAAGGGCAATGGGAGAAAAATTGGGACAGCAGTAATAGAATAACAATGAAAAATGATTTAATAAAAAAAAGAGTATCCTCTGACTAATCAAAGGAAAAGCTTCGTTTCCTTTTCTCATTTAGCACCGGTGACAAAAGTCAAAAGAGGAAAACCCTAGTCAAGATTATCGACTTCTCAGTGTCAAAGGGCTGAAGCCTGCTTTTATGTTTGCTCCCTACACACCCTCACCACAGAATTCCCCCATTATGTTCTCCTGTGGAGAGAGCAGTAAAACATGTCAAGCTCTGTGCAAATTTTTGAAGATTTTTTCAGGAAGAATTTCAACCTAAGAACAAAGATTCTACTGGCGGTCAAGGGTGTCTGCTTTTCCCAGCCGATCTTACTACAGCTAAATTTTCATTAGCATTCACAAAAGCTGTTTCCAGGAAATCTTACCGTCCTAAATAAGGTATTTTAAAATGTTATTTAGATAGGAATCATATTCTAGATGTTGACTGAGGTATTTTTACAATATTCTTGGATACTAAGCAAACATGAAGTCTCCCAGTTTAAGGACTGGAAATGAAGTGATAGATGACTATGCCAATGAAGAAAAAATTGTAGACATCTTAACTATCTCAACATTGAGTGTTGTAAGTAGCTAAAACTTAAAAAAAAAGTGATACATTAAGAGCATGTAAAGCAGTATTGTTGCCTTCTAGGAAAAAAAATGTAATTAACATTATTGTATTTAAAACAAATAATTTTTTAAAATTTTCAACTTTTTTCTTCTGGGAAACATATCAGCGATTCTGGGAAGTCAGCTTCTTTGAGGATTGAATGCCTTACAATGCACTGTGCTTTACAGTTTTATTACATTTTATTGCATTTAAACTTTACAACTCTTTAGAGCTGCAGTTTTTTACTTTTTCTGTACTTCATATAGAAGGAAAATATCTACTTGCAAAACATGTTACTGTGTACAACTTCACATACTGATGTCAACACAATAAGAAGAAAACACATAAGTAGAGCAAAAAATGCTGTACATAGGTTTGTGTTCCTGTCCCCTGTTTTTCAGGTGTAGTACTTATACCAATGTTTTACATTTATAAGAGAGAGATCATTATCTATTTCCTCAGAAACACTGACTTCAGCCTCGGCAAAGGTAAGATGCTCTGTTGTAATATGTACATCTAATTGCTTTAGCTAACTTTCTAGCCTTCCTATCTCATACTCAAGAAAACATGCAGTGATGTCATTATAGAAATATCCTTGTGTTCCTCTATGTCACAACAACATGGCCAATAACTGTCATTTCAAAAACATGTCTTGCTATGCCTGTTTTAAGTGAAAAAAGAACTTTTCTGGAAGGTTCAATGATTCCCTCAAAGTCATATATGTCATACAGGTAGGCCGAGGACTGAACCCCAAATATCTAGACTTGCGTTCTGATGGTTTTTCTCCTTGTAACAAAGGATATGAATACATAAAGCCATCCACCTGAAGTCTTACACATGCCTACTGATGTTAAATCTTTCTTAGTTATTTGGCTGCCATTTTGGCCTCTCTGTGAGCTTCTTTTAATCCGAGGTAGACTGCCGTCCATGTATGAGACATTTATCATGAAGGGGACTGCCAGACCTGGGATAGACACTCTCTACATTGGGACGTATACAGAGTTTAATTTCAATGCCGCTGACCTGAACCGAGGCCATCGTTCAATATGGCCACAGCCCACCACTCGGTGGCTCTCTGGGCAGGTGCTGCGGCTATTCCTCTAAATATGAGAAATCATGGAAAGAACAGAAAAGTTTGTTTCTGGCTGGCTTGGAGGCAGCTGAAGAAACAGGGGACGCTTGGGGTCAAGTTGCTACTCCTTAAATTTGATAACTATAATTGTATCAAAAGAATAAAAGAAGAATCTGCTCAGAGGTCAATGGGCCACGTGTCTTTCTTGTATCTAGCTTTAAGAAGGCGATCTTTTAGTTCTCAAGAGTCACTACTACTACAAGACACTTGCCTTTCACTGCTATTGCACAAGAACTGACACATCGGACAGTAGCGCCAGGGGTTGTAGCACTAGTGGCAAAGGCCTCTGTCTCCTGTCTCAACTGATTGCAAAGGTTCCTGTCTCACACATGTTTTATTGGTGATTACCTAACTTACCAGTCTGCATCCCCTCATGCTCCTGTGCATTCCTCTGTGTATCCATTAGTTTAGCTTGCATATTTTTCTGTATTCTCACAGATACCTTTTATTCTGTCTCCTTTTGTCACATATTCTATTTTTTCTATCCTCACCTGAAGATATTTTTTCATTGCTTTTAGAGAAAGAGACAGAGGGAGAGGGAGTGAGGGAAGGGGGAAGAGAGAGAGAGAAGTGAGAGAGAAACAGATTGGTTGCCTTCTGTACATGCCCCGACTGGGGATGAAACTCACAACCTAGGTATGTGCCCTGACTGGGAATTGAACCCGCACACTTTGGTGTACGAGGCAATGCTTCCACCAACTGGGCCACACCAGCCAGGGCCATAGTCTATTCTTTACCTAAGTCAGAATAAAATCAAGCTTTGTTACATTTCCGTAACTTCCTCTCCAACTACTATTTTTCTCTCTTTTTTTTTTCTTATACAAGCATCTACAAAATCATGTTCATTCCTTCTTTTAACTTGGTTAATATAAGAAAACATCTTCTGTCTTTCCTAATAACTATGTTATTTTTAAATATGTCTCCTTAAAAAGATAACTTCCCCTCTCCCTTGCCTCGGAGCAGTGTGTGTTCGAAAGCTGGGTCAGCAACCCATGAAGAAACAGCATTTAGAAACAAAAAAATCCATTCATGGTTCTTCAGTGAGAAGAACCATGGTTAGAGAGTGAGTCATCCAAAATAATAAAATCAAAGCACTTTTCTAAAAAGGAAACGCCTCCAACAATCCTGGGATAAAGACATTTGTTTGGTGAGCATCTCCTTCTACTTCAAGACCCAGCTCGGCACGATTTTTTTATGGCAGTTTCTCTTGACCCCACCACGGTCAGCCTTCATTTTCCCCTTTGCACCACCACCACGTTATATACATATTGGAATGACAGTATTTATGATATTGTTCTCTAGACTGATCTATGAGTTTAATCAGGCACAAGGCTAGTCATCTTATTTACCTTCTTCCCTGGCAATTAACACAGTGCCCCGACACATAGTGAAATGCTCATAAATAAATATTGGTTGAATGAATGACACCAACTAAATGATGTCTGAAGTTCTACGCAGTCCATTGATTAATCTAAGTCTGCAAACTGGTATTTGGGGTTCATTTTTCGTGGCATACATATTTATATTCAAATGAAATGAGTCAACGCATTCCATACTTACAACAACTTTAACATGTTTGGATAGATCTCTAGAGCTTCTCTGTAGGAAGTCAGAAAAAGCTGCCTAAACCACAAGGAAATAAAGGGAAAAAATCTTAATTACATGGTTATGCCAAATCCTTGTTTTGTATTATATAGTTCCTAATGATGCTAAATTATACAGAAATATAATATGCTGAATCCAAACTAAAGTAGTACAGTGGATGCCAAGTTGAAATCTTTTTGTTTTCGAGATATAACCCATAATAAAATGTAAGATCACAGTAGGAGAGTAAAAAAGCAGATAATTCCAAGGGTCAGCTTGAAAATATATTTCGACCACCTTTCCTGACCTCCCTACTCTACATTAGGTGCTGCCCCTGAGAACGTCTTGCCCCCACTCTTTTATCTCCACTTCCTCCATCCAGTGGTATAAATGTAAACCACACTTATTTTTATATCAGTATTTTGGAGGTATTTTTTTTTCTTTCTGGCCATTCACCCTCCAGGATGTCCTTCAGCAGGAGAAAAAAAAAGACGTGGCTCCCTTTAATTTCATATCCGCTTCCATGAAAAACCTCCCATGTTCTGCCAATTTCTCCTCCAAACACCGATGCATATGTACCCCTGTGAAAACTACGTTCTTACCCAAGACTTCCCATGCACTGTTCAGTCTACCCAGTTTCCCCACTCCCTCAGCTGGCTCTGATATTTGCTTTTCCCATCATGTGGTGGAGATCATCTCCTCGGTACAAGATGGAGCATCAGGGCTCTTAGGTTCAAAGATGAGGGACACCAGCTCTTTCTGCCAACTAATTTATGACATACGTCCTTACTTCCTAAACCAAGATGTTCAATATTAACCATATATAGACCTACATGTAAACATCTGCTATGTATATGAAATTACTTTTAGTATAATTAGCATCTATATTACCAACAGTGAATTAGCATTAAATAATATGTAATAATCATAAAGTGAAATACATACTTACCCCTGCATAGAACATTTTATTTCGAAAACGGCTGTTGAATTTCTCTGGATTTGCTTCTGTGGAAGGGAAAGGGTGGTTTTGTTACCAAGACTGCATTAAAGGTAGTGACTTAGACTGGCATCCCTGCTCCCTCTCCCAACACAGATCCAGTGAGAAGCTTCACTACCATCCTCCCCTTAGCTACGGGCTGTGGTCATCATTGTCCAGTGCCACAACAGGTAGCCACAAACAGCAGCATCCGCATCAACTGGGAGAATGTTAAAAATGCAACTGATCAGGATCGACTCCAGATCCATGAAATTAAAACATTTGGGGTGTGGGGTCTGGGGATCTGTGGTTTAGCAAGCTCTTCAGGTGATTCCCATGCACAGTCAAGGTTGAAACACTCTGGACTCTAATCAGAACACAGCGTTGGCAGGGTTATGGGATGGGGGTGGGAGGGGGATGGGGGAGAGGGAGAAGGGGGAGGGGTGATCATCTGCTTTGACCTCCATAGGTCATGGCTTCCCTCAACTATGCACGCAGCTTCCAAATGTAATTAAATATGGGAAATTCAGATAAAATGTAATGGAGAATTGGCTCTCACATTTTGCAAAAACTCCTAACTACCATCTATTCTCTTCTTTGTGGCAGGCCTTGAAAAATAACTTGACTTAGTGGAGATAGAGAAATATAAATACATATAGGCAGATCGCCTGCTGAACGGACACATGCCATCTGAGAGCAAAGGCTCTGGCTGAAAAGCGGTTTAATTTTGAGCTTGCTCTTCTATGTTATATATGTTGAGGGCCACAGAAAGATTAAACAAGAATCTGCATCAGGGAATTTTCATACGAATGCAAGGGATTTATAAAATGTTTAAATGAAATATTTTCTTACGTTCTTTCTAATAAAATTCTAAGACATTCCAAAGGAACCCACTGCCCATGTTTTTGCCCTCCACTCCTTTATTCAGTATGCTTATTAATCCTGTCTTAGAGTTAGGTCTTTCTCCAAGTCCTTTCTCATTAGGTTGGCTGGCTAGCTGAAACTCCAAGTCCTAACCCTATTTTTGAATGGCAAACCCCAAAAGTTGCTGTCTAGTTGAAGAAACATAGCAAAGAGTTCACTCACTAAGACTGGGTTGAATAAAAGCTACAAAATCTCAGGAAATAATTCTGGACAATTATTATGAGATGATTTTCATGATTATGACAATGTAATATTAGCATAAGACAGAAAGTGTGTTGAAATTTGCGAACAAAAAACCCAGTAGTATTTTATTTACTTACTTACTTACTTACTTTTAAAGAGAGGGGAAAGGAAGGAGAAAAAGAGGGAGAGAAACACCAATATGTAGTTGCCTCTTTCTCACCCTCTACTGGGGATCTGGCCCACAACCTAGGCATGTGCCCTCACTGGGAGTTGAACCAGTAACCCTTTGGTTCACAGGCCAGCGCTCAATCCACTGAGCCACACCAGCCAGGGAAAAAGATACTATTTGTATAGATTTGTTTTTGACAGTTACCTCCACCTATTCAAAGTTCCTACATTTCAAACCTCCCTTAATCATTCACTCTCTTCTACCAAACAAAGTACTGAAACCCTAGAAGCCAAATAATACTAAAGGTAAAAGGTTAATGTATAGGTAAAGTAAACAAAAAGAAGATGAAAGTGATACTAAGTGCTCTATCTCCTTGACCCCCACTGTTGGCCCTAGAGTTGACCATTTGCATGGTCTGGACCTTCTTTAGGATAAATTTGGCTGCTGAATGACAAGTCATTTTTAACCTTTTTTGATTTAGATTTGGTGGGGTATCATTTTCAGTTGTATTAACTCTCACTTTATGCAATCCGAGGCAAAATGAGAATTTTTGTTGCTACACGATTTATCATAGGTGCATAGGTCCTAATTTTAAACACAACCTGATCCAGCTATGGAGCAAGTTTTAATGAGAAATGGAAAATGACACCCACAGTTCTGGCCCAGTACTTTTTCAGGGCACTGATGTCCAAAGCTATTAAATGAATCATATACCAGCTATTAACATTCACTTTTTTTATAATGTATGGTTTGGAAAATAACCACATCTTCATGAGGTTTTCCTATGAGCCTTGAAGAACCGAAAAGCTTTCTTTCATTTAAAGGAAAGGTTTTTATTTTCTCTCAAGAGATGGAAAATGTTCCGTGAGACCCAAAAAGACTACAATTAAGAAATAAATTGAGTTTGTGGTGACTTCATTCACACAGTTGGTGAAAACAGTCATCTCAGATGTAATTTAACTGGATAAAGGTTAATTAAATAAGTAATTCTCAAAAATAGAGATCTATCAAGACACTCACATTCAGGGAGGTATCAGAAAGATATAAAATAACAAGGTTGTCGAGCTGGCCTTGAGGTTAGGAAGAAGTGTGAGGTAAATTCTATTATTCTCTCTGCTCCATCTTATACATTATACTATTGGCTCCCAGACTGAGCCAGCCATGGCAATTGGACGCCTTCCCACTTTATATCTACCTCATTCCAAGCACACATCAGACTTAGCACGAGGCTGGCTGGAGCTGAGGGAGATGTCTGCTAGTGTGACAGGGGGTCGGCCCCTGCAGAAGCCAGGCCATCAGACAGCAAGGAAAAGCCTAGAAGCAGCAGAACTGCACCATCTGGGCATTAAAAGGAAGGGGCTGAGTGGCTGAATCTGTCTACTTGTGCGTGTAAGTATTGACATGACCTGCAGAAGAGCCAAAGAATGTGACTCCCAACTGTATTAAGAAAAGGGGGCATACAGAATGGGCAAAGGGCCAGTAAGAAAGTGTAAGAGCTCTTGTTCCTTAAGGAAGTTGTGTCTGTTAACTGTTATGGAGTAAACCATGAAAGGCCACTCTCAAGAAAGGCCAATAATCTTCAAAGTACTCTGAGACCCCAATAGTGGAGGTATCCATGGCTTATGGCTGCAGGTCCTCAATTTCTCAGCCTCTTCTTCCACAAGAGGAAGTGACAGAGAGAGAGCCAAATTCACACTGTGTGTGTCTATGCCATTAACCTAGTTACCCTCTGACGGGACAGCAACATTAACTGTATTAATTTTCTATTCCTCCAGATTTAGCAGCTTAACATATTGACTGATCTTCCTACACTTCTCTAGGCCAAAAGTCTGGGGTGGTCTCTTCTGTGTCCTCTGCTTAGGGTCTTACCAGGCTAAAACCAAGATGTTAGCCTATGGAGCTTTTACTGAGTAGCTCTGGGGAGGATTTACTGAGAGGATCATGGAGGTTATTGACAAAGTCCATTCCCTTCAAGCTGTAGGAATGAGGTTCTTTCTCCTTGCTGGCTGCTGGCTAGAGTCCATTCTTAACTTCCAGTGGCCTCTTGCACATATCGGCGTGTGATGACCCCTCCATTGGCAAAGCCAGCAATGGTACACCGAGTCCCTCTCACATTCCGGATCTACCCGACTTCCCCTTCTGCCACAGCGCTCTGACTTCCTGTTCCACCTTCCACCTTTGTTTTTAAGGGCTCACGCTATTACACTGGGCCCACTTAGATGATCCACAATTATCTTTCTGAAGGTCAGCTAATGATTAACCTTAATAACATCAACAGAGTCTTTTTTTGCCATGTAAAATAACACCACCAAGGAACAGGACCCAAATGGCAACAGCCGTGGAGGTCAAAATTCTACCTACCCTCATCTGCGCCCTGCCCCCATGATGCACATCCTTCCCATATGAAAAGTACATTCACTCTCTTCAAGGCCCCCAAAGGTCTCATCCCATTATGTCATCAACTCGAAAAGCAGAAATCTCATCTAAATCTCATTAGCTCCAACTTCCCAAATCCCATCATCTAAATCATCTAAATGATTTGGCTCTGGAGGTAATTCATTTATAATGACTATGAGGCTCTGGGTATAATCCTTTCCATTGATTTAACATATTAATCCCATCCTTATGCACAACACAATAATATGTGTGCCATCAAAATGGGATCCTGAACCTTGCTTTGTCTATAATTGGTCCTGCATATTAGGGACTTGTTCATAAAAATAAGTTCAACACTCTATTTATAAAAGTCAATAAGCAATTTGAATCCTAAGTAACTCACACATCTTCTATAGACTTACCCAGTCTTAAGACTTTAGTTACGTATACCATAATGCCTACAATCACATTGTCATTTCAATTTCAATTGTAAATATTAAAAAAAAAAATTTTCTTTCAACATCATTGCCCATTCAGGACAGATTTTATTTATTTATTTATTTGTTTTCCACCAACCTTATCTTCATCTTTCTAACACCATCACAGAAAAATCCTTCATTACGTAATAACTGGTCATCCAACCCACGGTCATAACACGCTCATCGTCCCTCTGTACTTTCCTGCCTGAAATACCCTCACCTGCTCACTCCTTGGCTACATCACACCCCTCCTCCTCTCCCTTTACCTACCCTTTCTGGAAATCTTCCGCGGACGCCTTTCCCCGGACAGCAGCCCCCTCCAACCTTCTGTATTATTTACTGCCTGCACAACTTGCTCTTACTCTATATGCCTTTCTAATGTTATTTACCTTTTAAATATGGGGCCTATCCCCGAATTAAAAGTCCATCCTTGTAACAAACACTTATGGGGACAGTCACTGGACTTGGCATGGGGACCACTATGCTATGTACCTGAAACTAACACAAAATAATATTGAATATAAATTGTAATTGAAAAAATTTAAAAGCAATGTGTTCGATTATTTTAGATTAGACTCAACAATACTGATTCGTTATAGAGAATACATGTGCGCATGTAATCAACTCACAATTATTCTAATGGAAGAATACCGTAATTCAGATAAATTAAGCAAAAGATAATTAAGAGTTTATTATATTCAAAAACAAGTTATAGTCTTTTGTAGCTGAAAAATAAACAAATAAGTAAACAGACAAACAAACAGACAAACAGGACATGTCTTTTGTCCTCATGGAGTTTAGAGTCGGGGAGACTGGTCTGAAAATGAAAAGTAAAATGTCATTTTGTAAATGCTGTAAAAAGACATGTGCATGAGGTGAGATGGGTGTTACCCATAAAGGGAATGATCAGAAAAGTATTCCAGAGGCAGGTGCACTTGAATCTTGAATGATGAGTAGGTACCATGCAGAGGTTCAGGATGGAAAAGAGGGTTACAGACACAGAATCTCAAACAGTTGAGAGTTTCTCAAGGACAAATTGGGCTTGAGCCTTCCCGTCTAGACAAGAGCCTGGAAGCGAGTCCTTTGCAGAGACAGTAACAATGGAGTTTAACGCGCCATTGCAAACAACACGCTGTTAAAGTAATCAGCCAGTTCTCCATATGAATCATGAAACATTCATAATCCTTTGAAACATGCAGATCTGCATGTCTCTGCCTACCCTGTGAAAACAGTAAATCCTAAATTAAATTTAAATACGGCCTCCTCTCGGGTCATACATAATTGTCTGCCCGTGACCTTGGAGTAGAATGGTCAGCTCCTCTGAATAATAATTTTGATGAGGAAGAAAAATGTAAGCCTCCAATCTCAGACTAAAAGTTTGATGTGTTTAATATCTTTCATGTCCAAAAAAAAAAAACAAAACCCCATGACAATCTAATTCATATAGCTGGCAGAGTGAGACTTAACTTTGCCACCAGATAACCATAATTATTGTTAACATCACTATGGATGAATAGATTGAAATATTTTCAGTGTATGTCCTCAAGCACTGTCATAATGCAATAATGATTAAAGTACTGGGCAAGACTCCAACTGACAATTAAATGGCCAATCCTATTACATCTCCAAATTCTGTTCAAATGGTTGCACTTTCTGATACCCAAGCAGCAACAATTCAACCATGCATGCTGTATAGCCACTTTGAGAAGAATGAGAAGGCATCTCTTTTTCCAATCAAATAAAGTTTACTGTCTTTCAATCAAATACATAAACACAAGTTATTCAAATGTTTGCACTCTATGCAAAGTCGGTCAAAATGTTAAGATTATATTATCTCTTTGTTTGATTTTCTACTGGTAATTCCAAAAACATTTATTTATATAGTAATGCCACCAATAAACTGTCTCAAAATAAATGTCACTTTATTTTTCCCTTCTAAAAGGAATATAATATATGTAACAATGCTAAAATCTGCATTTGTCCTATATCAATTTAATGGGCTTTCTTACATCTATGCCGAAAATTGTTTCTGCATTTAAATCTTTTAAAACTCTGCCTTAGTGGGACTTGTATCTATTCCCCATTTCATGTAGACTGGTTGGCATAATTCCCAATTTAAAGTACTGTGCCTTTTTTTGACTGATTCTTAATAGGTTATTCTATTCAAGCTCATTTTTACAATGGCTCTCATGAGGCTTTGAGTGAAACTCCAAGTATTTTATACAAACAATACAGGCTTTACCATGAAGTCTCAAACTGTGAGTGGTTATATGTGAGAACAGTTTGAAGTTTCAACTATGAGTTTTTTGGCTTGAGAACAGCCACTCGCTACCAACAAAAATAAGTGAATTCACCCCTTATTGAAAATGTGGCCTTACTATTTTTCTTTTCCTTCTGTGGCTGAGCTTGAGATTTCTTGACTATCCAGCTAAGTATATAGGAAAAATCCAAATCAACAAAAAACAGATTTAAAAAGAAAGAATATTAGCTTGAGAAATAACACTTTTACAATAAATAATGATTTTATTTAATGCAAAAAGACTAGATAAACAGATACTCAGAAGTTAACACCCTTGATCTAGGCATATCAATCAAATCTGGTTGCAGTATTTAGTGGATATTTATTTTGTACCATCTGTGTATCATCTTCATGAACGTTGTAGTTATTTCTCTTAGGTGACATTATTTCTCCCTTATCAGCACATCAATGGCCAGTTTTCCTCAAGGGGCCTGGCTTATCTGCAGGGCAAATGTCTGCAAATCCACCTCATATTGCATGAAAGCACTTACACTAAGTCTCAGCAATAAACTATTCAAAATGAATGCTTGGTATCTTTTAATTGATCATTTTATAATCACACAGATTTCAAACGATGTATACATACATATATACCACCATTTGCATATTCCTCTCTAAAATGACATAGTCCCATAGCTTAAAATAAAAGAAAAAAAAAATCACTCCCACAAGAATTCTAATCCTGGCCCTTCCACCTTGATGTCTTTCTCTGCTCCCCTCTCACTCTGAGGTACAGCAATGCCATCATAGTACAAGGGAACATATCAGGGTAACTTTCAGATTAATTAGACCAAATATTAAGTACCCTTGAACGAGCTCCTTGCTGGCCACTTACTCATTTAGGCCTCTTCTCATGCCGGAGTGTCTATTTGGGAGGTCCATGTGTTAGTGAATTATATTACTGTATAGGTATTGTTAAAAAATTAAAAATTTTATTAGAAAGCGCAGCTTGAGTGTCTCCTGAAGAAAATGAAGAAAAAAATGGGGTAAGAAATGGAGAAAGGAATCTCCATTTACTTCTCCGAATTAACTCTCCTCAAATATAGGAAGGGCAACAGAGTATAAATGCCAGCCCCAATTGGAGGACCTTCTCACTACCTAATATACAAGAATCACCTATCACAGGGAGGTGGGGAGGGTGGTGGTGTTTCGGATTTGGGCATTTGATATTTGTGGCTTGGTCATCAACCAACTTTTCTATATGTGATTTTCTGGCTAATTAAAGAGAAAGGCCAAACTACGGCCCTGCCTTTTCCAGCGTTGCTTTCAACAGGTACAGCATTTGACCCTTGAAGCCTCATGAATCCAGGAAGGCCAAGCCTACCAAAATTGCTGAATTCATGAAGAAAATTATAGGTTTGGACTTTGCTTACAGCATATAGTCTAACAGCCTTAAGTCTATAGCTCCACCTCTGAACTTTAGTGCATAGGAGTGTTACCAGAATTTTCTCTGCATTCTTACTAGAATATGAACATTTAAATTCTAGCTTTCACTTCCCTGTTTTTCAAATTCTATTAGTTAAAAACACTTATGTTCTTGCAGAATCTAGAGGAAAATAAGAAAAATAATCCCTCATTTGTGATTTTATCTCACATGTTCTTACTACCATACAGACTAGCAGTAGTTTGGTTACATATTAACATCTTCACAAAGGACCAAGTACCGATACAGTTAGAGATACGGGCATAGACAGAGGTGTATACCATATTTATATTAATAAGAAAAGAGCCTAAGAGAGAAAAAGAGAGATTAGGAGAACCCAAGAGAGACTGAGGCTTCAAAGCATAAGGCAAAATCCTCAACTTTCTCAGTTCTGAATCACATAAAGTTGTGATGAAATACTTATCCACTTCATTATTTCATCTTACTTCTCTTTGAAAAGTTGTTCTGCTCCCCGAATCCTGACTCCATCTCTCCTGGTGCTTGAAATTACCAGTCTACCTCATTCACCCCTCTATCTCATCCAGTGAGGATTTCTAGCACTTTCCAAACCTAATCCAAATACCATCATACCCTTTCCTTTCAACCCAAACCACACATAGCCTCCTGCAGTCCCACAATGCCTATTGTCTCTCTGACGCACCCAGGCAGGGTTTTTGTGTTTTGCTACCAGGTTTCAAGGACTCTGGTTATGAAGGGTTGCACCATAACCGATGGTTTGAGAAACTATGAGTATCCCGATGACTTTAGTGGAAGAATCTTTATTATTTCTTAGTAGCTCACGAACTTCAAACTTTCTAGTTAAATTTCAAGAGCAGCAGTCCTGAGACCTGGAGCACATATCTGGTCCCGTCTCTTCCCATCTTTGCAACGCAAGACAATGAGGTCTCAGGGTCCTATTTATGGTGAGTTCCTATCTTGTCTATCTGCCAGGATCATCATGGAGGGCACCATGTAACAACATGGCAGCACTCTGTCAACTTGTGATAGGAAACAGAAGGGAACATGCAAAACACCTGCTGGGAACTTCCTCCCTGGGAGATGGGAATGGAACGCTGTCCTCACCTCTGGATTCATGGAACTCCAGTGTGACATGGGCGTCAAATCCAAGGCTGAAGTAGTTATTGAAAACATTCAGAGGAAGCTGCAATGATGAGCAAAGGGAGAGGTAAAGTTGTGTGGAACCAGGCAGGAAAGAGAGAAATAAAAGTAAAGCCAGACACCCATCTCTGCGCCCGTCCCCTGGAGAAGGTCAGTCACAACTCCGGGTAGAGGGTGTTTACCAAGGAGGAACGGGGATGTCTGAATTAATTCATTAATCAAAGCTTAAGTCAAATAATACTCCCAAGAATTTTAAATAGTATAGGAAACAAGGGATACAAATACAAATTATTAAACAAGAACCATTCTTGTGGAAGTTGTAATAAGAGAACCTTATGAAGCTGAGGGATGCACGCTTGCAAGAGTTACAGAGAATGACTCACTGCTCAAACTTAGAAAGTAAATTCATTCATCAGGATCGTGTCTGACCTACTTAATCAGTGGATACATTGTTTTCAAGGATTATATTCAGCATATTAATATTGCAACTTAAATTGAACATTTAATTTGTTTGCCCTTCACCTATTTTTTTAAAAAATATTTTTGACAAAAGTCATATAAGCAATAAGGCAGTGGGAGACACTCAGCTATCCTCAATCTACAGGAAAAAAGAAATATATATATACACATATGTACACACACATTTATTTATCAGCAATATTCAGATTCCTATTTAGTCTATCAAATCTTTTATATTTCGCATTAAACTTATTGGGATAACATTGGTTAATAATTTTATAAAAAATTACAGGTGTACAACTTTACAATATGTCGGCAAGCTCTATTTTGTGCTCACCACCGAAAGTCTCCTTCCATTGCCACATATTTGACTGCCTTTTCCCCTCTTCAAACCCTGTATCTTTAATGTGACTGTGAAATATGCAAACACAGACATAGACATGCACACACAAGCCTTAGCTTTCCTTCCCAGAATCCTCTGGGTCACCGGCTGTCCCTGCTGCCGCGGAGTAAAAGAGAGAACCACACAACCTAAAATCCTGAATTAAAGCTGCAAAATTAATGCTACTTTAAGACTGCAGTTCCATGTCTGAACAATTGAAAGGCATGTGGAAAATGGTAGAAGGGAAATGGTGATTCTTTCACTTTACCTTCTGCTCTCAGAGTGGAAGATAAACATTAAAGGAAACAGAGCGGTAACTTTACCTCAGTGTAGATAATGTTTCCAGAGGACGATCAAGTTTATCCTCCAGATAAAAATGCACTTCTTGTCTATTAGAAATAAGTGTTTAACACTCCAGATTCCAAAAGGAAGTTTATTACAGTGTCTCACTGCTCCTTGATCAGTAAGAGTTTCTATTTGACGAGAGCAACAACTTGACCCCCAGTAAGAGAAAAAAGAGAATGAACCTTGTGCCACGAAGAGAAAAATGAAATGAGAGGAAGAATGAGGGAGACACATTAATGCAGAAAGAAAGAAAGTGGGTTGCCTTGGCCCCTAATGGAAATAAAGAACGAACCCCCTCATGGAAAGCCCTGAGCCAGAGCTTATAATGATTCAGAGGTCAAATCAGCCCTTAGAAATGGTTACAGCTAACAGGAGAACCGGGAGAGAAGCTAAACACATAGAACAATGCCAAAATCTTGTCTCACTTTCCTGGCTTCCTATTTGAGAATGTCCAGTTCCTGCCCTGAAACAAAATACCAGTCCTTATAATGACAGCCAGGGTTAGCAGCCCTGCCAAGGGCTCAGATATGTTCATCTCTACCATTTATGTTCCTTTGGCTACAGTTCTAGCCCCTTTCTTAGCTTCCACCGATAACTCAGGGGAATGTCTGGCCACCATCCCATAAATAATATCCCAATTTAGTCTGTTATTAAGTTCTTACTCGTATTTTCCAGGAAAAATTGCCCCAATTTCCTACACATCTCTTCAAAAATCCATTTTCATAGCCCTTTAATTATCTGGATTAATGTTCCCTGGCTGCAGCAAGAAGTCTTTCCATTTCTTGAGCTGTTGGGAAGAGAGTTAAATATAGATTTCTATTGAGGGCCTTACCATTCTAAGTGTGGTGGAGAAAGGACCTTAAAATTTCCATGTGGTATACTTCTTTTTACTCTGACTGCTTTCTATCCAATTTCTGTACATCCAATACATTAGAAAGATATATATCCGAGATGGTAAGTGCTATTTAAACAACACTGTGACATTATGAACTGAAGATCAACTGAGCAATCATGATATGTACCAAAAACCTTACAATAGCTGGATCATGGTTTAGGTGAAAAAAACAAAACCCATGAAGACAAGGCAAACATGTTTTAGTGAATAAGTGGAGGTCAGTTTGGTTGAAAATGCTATCCAGTTCAATCTATTTTAGGGCTGAAGCATCCATGAAATCTTGGCCTGAATCAATGGCATGATCCAACGTAGCAGTGATGCTGTTTGCAGATGCCTGGGCCTTAACCCTGCATTTACTTAATGAAAGTCTCTGGGGCTGGGCCTTCTACCTGCACTGTTGAACAAGCACACCTGGAAATCTAGATGCATACAAAAGATTGAAAACAATACCACAGAAAAAAGGGGAGAAGTAATATGGAGGAAGTGGCTACTTAGCAACCTACCAAATTTACCTGAAATTGAGGCCAGAACTTAGAACCAAATGTTCCATGGAAGCTCCATACTAGTATATTTACAACTGTGTCCCTTGGTTTCTCTTGGGTTGAAATAAAAACTCAGTCACTAATGAAAAAGCACTAAATCAAAACATTTACGTAGGCATCTTCAAGTTCTAAGCAATGGATGAAATTGGTTTAGTTAATTCTTCCTAAACACTCAGAGTATTTCATATCAAGCCAGAAATCTCAGGAGGTTATCCTGCTTTCAAAAGGCTGTGTACCTAATGCTTCAGAACATACATATTTCATCTTCTCTTAGGTTAAGAGTTTGCAATGAACTTGAAAGGTTATAACACGGATACATGTGTTCCTGGTGTAGAAGTTGAGGTCAGAGAACAGCTCCCAGAACTCTAGAAGCAGGTAGAAATCTAGGTCTTTAGAAGCCTATGGGGCAGAATAATTGGGTAGTGTTACATGCAAAGCTGTAGTAGCCATGAACTTAAACACTATCCTGTTATCTCATAGGAAGAAATCAGGACATGACCCTCCAGCCATAAGTGTATTTCCCATGACAGATGCCCCAGGGTTCCTTTCTGTGGAAGAAAGAACCCTCTGACCTTGCATACGCCATCTTCAAGTTCTTCTGGAGGCAAGTCTGGGTTTCTTTCCACGTGGAGGTTCCAGCGGTCTAGCTGTACAATTGTCCCATCCTCTACTTGGCAAAGGATCTTGGAAACAGGCTCATCAGTGTATCCCTAAGGAATCAAAGAACACATCCATTGGAGTCTGGAGTGACGAACGGTACAGCCAAAGGTCTTTCATGCAAAGAAGAGCCCTCTACTATAGCTCTCTATTTATTTTGTAATTAGCAAGGCCAGGACAGTAAACTGTACTATTTAAGACAACAGTCACAGGTAATGTGCACAGAAATGCTAACGCTAGCTGGTTTAAGCTGAAGAATAATTTTTGCTGACACTGAGAACTGCTAGTTGCTGGTAGGTTTTGGGGTCCAGGCAAGATGGCTGCTTTAATCAAAGAAAAACAGGATCCCTCAGGCCTCCTTCTAAAGGAATCTGTGAGATGTACAGAGCAAGTGTGTATGTGGGAAGGGGGAGAAAAAACCAAAGCAGCCTCCAATAGACAATTTCTTCTGTTAATGTCACATTTTACTCATGTCCCCCTAACTTTTAGTAGGACACCGTTCCTTCCATGACCCAAGTCTGACTGAGGAATAGCCCTGATAGGAAGACACTCCCTGAGCACACATTACTGATAGCACGATTATTAAGGGTTGTCAGGTCATTGATCTGGATGACAGGAAGTAACACTGATAATATGTTAGTTACTTCGTGTAAATACAGGAAGAGGCAAAAGTAGGGTTATAATTGTTCATGTAGAAAATAATACAATAATTAATAAATAATAAGAATAAATTCTTTTGTATACTCACAACTAAATCTACCTTTGCCCCACCCTGTATTTATTATTTATACTGAAAAAGAAGACCTATAGGAGGTTAATTGATTCACCCAAAGTCAAACTGTATCTTCTAGTATCTAAAGATAATTTTCAGGGAGCCCAGCCCAGGCAATGGTCTCCGATGAGCACATAAAAAGCTGGTGGGCTGCATACATTAGCATATTGTGCCTTCTTACTATCTCAGGAATATAAAATACAAAAAACAAAGAAAGAATAATAATAATAAAATGGCTGGTTGGTGACAGGTAAACTGCCTCTACTAAGCTTTGTCTGAAGTTGGCTGTCAGTTCCATAATGGAAAGGACGGTCAGTCACCTGTTCAGCCAAAACCAGGATGACACTGACCAGAGAAACTGAATGCTCACAAAAAAAAAAAAAAAAGAAAGAAAGAAAATAAAGAAAGACAAAGCTATGGCTTTCCCAGAGGATTGTAAATCTTAATCAGATTTGCTGTCCCGGCCAGGGCTGTGGTCAGGATCAATTCAAGTCTGTGTGGTTGGTTTACACGAAGACTTGAGGACAGCCCACCCACTGTCTTTGTGGAGAGCTCAGAAAGCCCCCGGTGTGGGTACTAACCCCCGTTTTTTAAAATCTCAAATGTTCCCTTCTTTTCTAGCTGATTATAAATTACCAGATAAAATCGTCCATCATGGGTACCTTGGTTCTTGACTCTAACTTATTCCTTACACAACAGTAGCATATTGCCCTGCCATGAGGACATCTGTGGCCCAGGGGACCCAGCTGCTGGGCGGCGCGGGCAGCCCCTGAGAGCAGCTCTTACCCCGCCCCAGTTGAGGGTTCGAGCCAGGTCGTTCCCAGTGCCCAGAGGAAGGACCCCGACAGGAGGCTGCGGGCTCAGCTGCAGTTCGTCCAGAATGGAAAGGATCCAGCCCACCTGCAGACAGATCGGGGGCCAGAAGAGTGATAAGAAAGATAGATAAGTTACAGGGAAGACAACCTGAGAGGAGGTGGCTTTACAGAACAAAATCAAGCAGTTTTATTTTTCCTTAAAAAAAAAAACCACAAAAACAAAAACAAAAACAAAAAAAACATTTTAATCCAGTGTCCAGGGAACAGAAAGACCTCTTATCTCAGGCTGTTTCAAAGTGGCAACCATCTTGCAGGGAAAAGGACCATTTTGTACATGCCCTGTCCTATAAGCAAAACTAGACCATTCATCTGTGTGTTTAACTGGAGATCTACTTTACAGCTGAAGAGAGTTTAAAATGTAGGGAAGTATATAGCATAAGGCACTGGAGGGAACACAGGACTCAGAATTAGACTGAATTTCACTTCTGGCTCATACTGGCTCTGTAATCTTGATTAAATTATCTAACATCACTGAGACTCGTTTACATGATTTTCAAAATGGAGATAATAATAACTATCTCCCAAGATTGTATATAAAGTAAAATATGTATAAAAAGCCCTTACTATGGTGCATGGCCCCTGTAAGCGCCGGTTAAATGGTTACCCTCCATGGTATCATCTTAGAAATTAGTGGTGTTTTCCTAAATACCCTTATATACCCCTTAATGAAACATTATGAAAACATAATTAGGGCTGGATCTAGTACTTATAAATTACAAGTTTAGGCAGAAAATACTTATACACTAGAATCATATTCCTATGTAATCTTTTTCTAAGATTTAGCCTTATTGTAACTATTTAGAAAAATTATCCCAAACTTGAAAAGAGCAAAAACAAACTTGAACATTCTCACAATGTCATATTAGCACAGTATTTAACAGGCCTAAGAACCATATAACTATAGGTTAACTTGAAGATTTCTGTCCTCAGAGAGACAAATGTTGAGAAGATTGCTTTAAAGATTATAGTTTTAAGTCTTCCAGAGGACCTAAACCAATTTTGTCTCAAATTTAGAAAAATCATTTTGGTTTAAACTACATAACCCTTTTCCTCTACTTCTCCAAAAAATCAGCTTTATTGTTTTGTTTGTTCCTTCATTAAAGAGCTAAATAAAATTTTTAATTAAATTTATTGGGGTGATACTGGTTAATAAAGTTATATTGGTTTCAAGTGTATAATTCGATAGTACATCAACTGTCATTGTATTAGAAATACATTTTGACATGTATTGATTACATATTTGTATGAATCATGTTTTTTAAATTTTTTTAAAAATTGTGCTTCAACAGTACATTCATTGAACTGTATTACATGTAAATAACACAACTAAGCAATTGAAATAAGAAGATAAATGCGCTGGGCTAAGGCAGACAGGGTAGAACGTCTGCTGCCAACGAGCTTCCAATGAACAGACCGAGTGAGCTGCTGGCTGCTTTCTATGTGCTGGTCCCTGAGCAAAGTTCTCTAACGAACTGTCTTATAAACTTCAGAACAACTCTATGAGTTGAATATAATTTTCATCTCCATTTTGTAGATGAGGAAATTGAGACTTGGAAGGGGCAATGAGCTTCTTAGTACACATCACTTATGTGGTAGCCGGCATTCAGTATCAGGTATGCTGAACACTGAAGGCCAAACCTCTTAGCCACTCCGGTGCGGGGAGCCTCTTAACAGAGAACTAACCCCAGTTCTGGACAGGGCCTGGCCATCCTGGAGATGGTGGCGTGCACTCTGGGAATCTCTGAAGCACTGAGAAAACTTAGGAATTACATATTCAAATTCAGTTGATTTGCCTATGTGTTAACTGAGGAGCAGAGAGGTCTTGTAATTGGCTCCGGAATGAATAAGAAGTCTCAGTCATATCAGGTCTGTTAATTTCCACCTAAAACCCTCTCCCCTCCACATTGATTACTTCCCAGGATGAAAACCTTCCCCATCCATCACCAAGTCTAAAACTGTGTTAACCTTTTAGAAAAGCACGGCACAAACATTCGCCCAATCAGGTAAGATAGAAATCCCAATCCACGCAAGTGTCAAAAAGGCCCTCCATTCCCCCGAGTGGGGCCACTTACTCTTAGACAGCTCCTTAGATTCGGACCCAGCACTCCCAGCCCTTCGTTTACACGCGACACTAACGAAGCTTTCTACTGAATATTGGACTAAAAGGGGGAAATGCCAGATGCTAAAATACAACGGGCGACCGTGCTACACATTGTTCCTGTGCTGCACACACAAAACTCAGCAAAAGGAGGCACCTCTAATAAAGTACAGAAAGAGGATTTAAAGAGCATTAAGAAGGATGTGAAAACCCAGAAATCCCAGCCATCAGGGATCGTGGACCGCAGACGCCAACAGCCCAGAGCAGGCCCAGACTCTCCAAAATGCAGCAGAAGGAAGCGGAAATCTAATCCAATGTCTCATTCAGAGAAGGGGAAGGAAGGCAGACTCTTTAAAACTTCTCTGAGATGAACATTTAACCTGCTTTTTATGGTTTCTACTCACAAGTCAACCCAGTCTCTTTGGGGTAGATTTAAATTAAATTTTTTTTTTCCTTATGGTTAGTTGAAATATGCATCTCTTTTCTTAACAAAGAGCATGCTTATTAGTTCACACTTTCAATATCCCATTTCACTCTACATGGAACAATGAGAAAAAGAAAAATCTTCCCGGGCCAGAAACAAAACACAAAGGTGCAAGCAGAGGAAGCCAGGAGTCTGGCTTTTGTCCGATGAAAATGGGGAATAAGAGTTCGCCCCCTGCTGGCAGGAGGCCACATAGGAACCAGGCTCCCTCTTGCCCCGGAAATAAAGGTGAAGAACCACACAGCCTGAGGCTGTAGTCCATAGAAAGTTGAGACGTGTTAGGGCTGGCAGGAGAAAGCTTGTCTGACAGTCAGCCCCACTTCCCACTAGCTCCCTGACACTCCTGAAACACCCTGACAGGTCCTCGGGTGGGAGCCTTAGCCACCCACAGAAAAGTAGTCTCAAGAGTCCTGGAAGCCATTCAAACTACTAGAAAGGAGCCCTGACTGGTGTGGCTCAGTGGACTGGGCATCATCCTGCAATTCGAAAGGCTGCTGAGTCGATTCCTGGCCAGGGCACATGCCTGGGTTGCAGGTTCTGTCCCCAGTTATGGCGCAAAGAAGAGGCAACCAGTCAATGTTTCTCTTGCACATCAATATTTTTCTCCCTCTTCCTCTCCCTTACTTCCCCTCTTTCTAAAAATAAATAAAATCTAAAAAAAGGAAGGAAAAGATGCAAAGAAAGGGATGCAAAGAAAGAATCTGGAAAGGAGCCTGCAAAGAAAAATTCTAAATCACAGAAAGAATACTTAGATGGATGGAAGGTCAGGGGATTCATTTACAGCACATTAAATACAAATAATTTTCAAAGGACTTTGAAATAAGTGTCCTGTAACTTCCATGCAGCAGAAAGGTGCTATAAAAAAGAGAATGAAAATAAATACACCTACAACAGCAAGAGACATAAATGATCTTGAGTACTAATCGGTGTCTCTGTCCTTCATGAGCAAGACTGTATACAAGACCTCAAGGCTCAAAGCTGTTCATTGGCAGCCCTCCCTTCCCCATAACCAGGAACCTGTTCCTGTTAGAGGTGCAGGCGGCAAGTTCATGGGCAGGGACTGTGTTTGCTGGGGCCTCCACATGTCCCCAAATCATCTCCACCAGCTTTTCCAGCACCCCTTCAATTAACTGATTTAATTAATTGCAATACATAGCACTTGGCATATGTTCCACCATAACTAAAGGAAATTACCCCAATGGGGTGAAATCATTTTCCAGTTTGCAGAGAGTTCTTTCCTTTCCTTGTGTTAGGAAAAGGGAGGCAGAAAGATCTGGAACCCCAGTCCCGGGCCTTGTCCCCAAACAGCCCAGCCGGGCCGCTGCAGCAGCAGCTAGCCAATGCTGCCACCTCCTGTCCACGCTCAGCATTAGCTGACACCGAAAGCTCCCCAAGTACATTTTGAGTGCAATTCTTATTCCGCACTATGCTAACATTAGCTGCGGCTCAAGGGTGGAGAGGACAGTGAATGGGCGTCTTTGAATAGGACGCACACTGCATTTCCTTATATTCCATGCGGGAAGGGAAATGAAGGCTACGGAAACTGAGAAATCAGAGAAAAACAGGGCAACATTTCTGAACTCTGAAAGATAAGACATTTAACAGCGGGGTGTCCCTTTCTAAAAATGTACGCTATGATTCTTCTCTTTGATATTTTAATTTACATTTGCAGTAAAGAGTTTAAAAAGTCACCATGTGTTAAAAGAAATGTTGAAAATCAACCCTAATGAAATCAAGATGAGTCAAGGTATGAGCTTTTTGAAGTAGAAAGTTCAAATGACTTATCCCAATGACTACTACTGAGGGGTACCACCTGCTTTCTCTTGACAGAGGGTGGAATATATCCCATTATATGTGGGTGAGGCTGGGGTTGGGGGTGCAGGAGCAGAGGGGCTTGAATGATCTGCTTGCCCCTATCAAGCAAAGGGAACCACTACTTCCTTCCGGGCTGCGGCTGTAGTGGGCTAGGGTCCAGGGATGCCTTCTGCTTAGGGTTTAACTCACCTGGAGGAGAAATAGGCATGAAGTGGGTCAAATTGACTAGAGTCAATTTAATCCTAGGCCTCTGGAAAGACATTAACATGGTGACAGATGCTCCTGCTGGTCCAGCCCAGCTCATCAAGGTCAGAGCCAGAGAGCGAGGGACCATGTCACACTTGAGGGGGCCCTCCGAAGGGGAGGGGGCATGAATATGCCTTTAGTGCCTAGGTTCACATGCTCTTCAATATTTAAGCCGAGTTAGATGGGTGGAGATGTGGCCAACAAAGGGAGAGAATACCAGTGTACCACATGACCACCGAAAGACTGCTTCTAGTTTATAAGCACGAAGGCTGGAGGTCATTCCTGAGTTAGCTGAGTTTCCATTTCAGCTCGGAGATCGAAGATGGGGCCAGCTCGTGCAACACCTGCAGCTACGTGGCAACCTCAGGCTCACGCGAACCAGTTACCAAGAGGCTGACGTGCAACCCCTGGCCACACACGGCAACGGGGCACTAGGATGTGGCTAGTCCAGACTGGATGCGTCTTAGTTATAAAATCCATGCCAGGTTTCAAAGACAGTGCAAACTAAACATAAAACAGCTCATTGATGAGTTCTAGATTAACTGCATTTTGAGATGATATTATTTTGGGTATTTTAGGTGAAATAAACTGTACTATAAAGAGGTGTTAGCACACAATACAGTGCCCAGATGACCTGCTGTGGAATTGTGCGCCTGAAACCTATGTAGTTTTGTTAACTAGTATCACCCCAATCAATTCAATAAAAAGGAAAAAAATTAATTTCACCTGCTTCGTTTTCATCCCTCTTAAGTGCCTTCTAGAAAACTTAAAATTTAAACCGTGGCTTACATTATCGTTCTCTTGAACAGCAATGGTCAATACCATTATAAAGCTACAGCTGTGAAGAACCTTGGAGACCCAAATGTATCCTTAGCAGATCTAGAATGTCTCAAAAGAAGTCAGGGAATCCGCCAAAGTTCACAGGCATAGTGGCAAAACCTCCTCTTCCACCTCCAAGTGTAATATTGAAAGATCCATCACTCTGCCTCCTTGTATTTGTTAGTAACAAAAACTAAACTCTCACTGAAGCCTCACAACTTTTTTCCAAATTCATGCAAGATGTCTGTATATTAAGTAATACTCTGTACACTTAAACTAATATGATTAATGGTTAATAGATCCTCATCTTAATCAGTCAAAAATGTGCCATGTCTGATTCCACCTTGAATCTTGGCACTATACTGACAGGATTCTGACAGCCTTTCTAGTGGCAGGCAGGTCAACTGGGGGCTCAATACCTTACGGCAAATATATACCTGATGTTCTCGATAATTATGCCTCACTTCTCTCAAGCCAGCAGACTTTCTTCATGTGCCCATCAGGATACCTTTTTTTAATATAAACTCTGCCCCCTCCCATAAAAATTCCAAGTTCCATGTTCTAAACTGATAAAATTAAAAATATCAATCACATACCTGGATACATATTTCATAAATCCCATATAGCTATCCTTCACCAAAAAAAACCTTATTTTAACAAAGTAAAATCAAAGGAATCCTGGTTTTACCTAAGGTACCAAATAATCAAAGTTTTGATTCTGAGCGATTGGACTACAGGGGTCACCACTGACTGAAGTAATTAGTTCAAAAGTATGCACCGACTTAAGGATAGATAGACTGCTTTTATTTTAGGCATGCCCATGGCAAAGGACTCAAGTATAAACACAGCCAGTACACTTTTGAGTTATGTGGAAGGATGTGAAACGTGAAGTTAGGAACACCGATAAGGCCCCTGAGAGAAAAAAAGTATCTAGAACATAAAAGAAGTTATATTTAAGCTTTGTGAAATATTTGTTAATTACAGTATGCTTAGGAAAGAAATGCAAGAAAAGGTAAGATAAGACACGTTGGAGAACCAAATAGTCTACAAGTCAAGGAGGATGCTGTGGTACCAGAGTGCATTCACAGCAATTCAGTACTGGAATTGGATCTGGTCGTGATGACTCATCATTCTGGGTTTAATCCCAGACGCCCTATTGAAACCATCTTCTTGAAAACCACCAGTTACTTCCTAGTCTCCAAATTCAACGATAATTCTCCAGTCTCTCCTGAAGGATATAACCACTCCCTCTGTCCTGAAACTCCTGGTTTGTCAGGTTTTCTTGACAGAATAGACTACCTTCTACTTCTATCTTTTCATTTTCCTTTCGAATGTTGGCTCAGGCTCCATAATTATAGGTATTTCACAAGTGCCTAACTTGGCTGTCGTCTCTTTGTCCTGTATATTTTGAAATCCCATGTTTTAAAATACTTATCTCGTTTCAGAGCAGGCCCCAATGCCATATAATCCAGAGAGCAGTGCTTCCTACGTCTGTCTGCCGAGCACAGGAAAGGAAGCCGAAAGCAGCGTGGGAGCGGGGGTGGGGCGCAGGTGATGGGAGGTTGGGCGGGGGGGGGGGGGGAGTCTGGAAGGGGGAGCGCCCAAATGCACGAGGAAGCCTGAGACAGGACGATGGAATTGGCAGCTGATGTGGACTGGAGGCCACAGTCGCTCAAGAAAGAGGAAGGACTACAAATTCAGGACACCAGGCATTTCCTCAACTTGTCTGCTGCCATCACCGTGATTTCGAGGAGAAAAGGGTGAGTGGGACGCTTGACACATAGAGGGGGGCAAGTAGGTCCTCAGTGAAGGGAGGTAACCATAGAAAAGGGTCACAAAAAGGTTTATCCTTTTCTTAAAGACAGCTAACTGGGCGACGGTTGATCTAGAAGACTCTGTATGTCTATTCATTGGTTTCTTCTATATCGATTTAATGAATAATATATATATTTCTCCACGGCAGATTTGTTTGGACCTAATTCTTACTAAAGAACGTGGGGAAAATTCCCCATTATCATATCTACACTATAATTGATTGAAATTTAATTAGTATTATAGGAGAAAAGAATTCCATGGTCAAATAATTTTGGAAAACACTGGGTTAAACAAAGTGAAATAGGTTTGGCTTCTTTGCTGTAAGACTTAATGATAAACTTTATAAGCCAATAATGTGTATCGTGAATCTCTAAGAATAGCAAACACTACTGTCACATGCATATAAAAAATGTTTTTCTCTCACAAGGAATCTTGAAAAACAAGTGGGTTCACTTCTTTTTTCCCCAATTTCACTTATTAGTGTATGATGTGTATCTAATATTGCATTAAGTGCTCATATGATAACAGGCATACAATTAGGTTTCTATTGCTACTTTGAGAATAAGATATTCTAATTAGAGAAATTAGAGAAAAGCCATAGATAGTTCATAATAAAAGGCTGGGTCCTATGAGAGCAGACCCCATATACAGAATCAAAAGACACTGGGCAGCAGACTCCTCATCCCATGTTATGTTGCTAAATAAATAGAGGGCAAATGGAGGAATAGAAGAGACACATAAACAGAGGCAAATACATTCACAACATTAAATTTCAGCCCAATTCCATCTTTTCTTCAAAAATGACTACAAATGGAACCAAGCAATGATCTTTAAGGCAAACCAATATCAGCCAGTATTTTAAGTTGTATTTCCATTGGAAAAAATTACAATAATTCAATTGTGCGCGCATACTCTCCTTAATTGTTGTAACCACTTATTAAGAACAAGCTGAATAGGTCAGTTGGTATTTTCAAAAGAATTTAGCCATCTATAGTCTTCATTCTGATGATCCGACCACATCCCTACTTCGTGGAACAGGAAAGAACACAGCAGAATGGAGGGAGTGATACAATTTAGAAAGATCAAGTTTGAATCTGTGAGGATGACGACGCAGTCCCTCCTACCCCTGAGCCCCCGTGATGATTCACAGGAGAGAGACAGACGACGTTTTAGTGGAGTGGACAGACTGTGCGGTGGGAATGAATGAAGAGAACTATCCTAAGGGAAACCAAAGAAAGGTGGAAGAAATAAGGGTGAGAGCTGGATTCTATTTCAAGGACCTACCGTTCCATCCCCGCCACAGGCCAGAATCCGCAGATTTGGTACTTTCCTATACAACTCAAGCCTGTAGAGGAAAGAGAAGGAAAAGTTAACAGAAGAGCGTATCGCTGGCCACAGAACAGAGAGAGCACGTGGCAAAATGGCGGGCGGAGGACTGGCGAAAATGTATAATCATGAGGATAATACCAAGTTATCACAAAAGGACCGACTCTCACAGCTGGTTCAGAGGTTAGCAGCAAACGTCATTTTTAAAGAGCCCACCCTGGAAGGGGATTTGAGGACGTCCTGGAGTGGCACGGCCCATCATTCCTGTCAAGGTGTCAGCCCACGTTATTTTCCGCATTGGCTTTGACCCTCTTTCGCCCTTTTCTTTTCCCATGATTGTCCTTTCTCCTTTCTCATCATCAACCGGCAGTCAGCTGGCCTTCTCTAGCTCCCCCTTATCTTCTATTAGCTTTTTGCGGATTTATTTATTTTTTCAAACCTCACCCGCCCACTCTGAACCCTAGGAAGACTCTCTTAGAGAGGCAGGGGGAGGAACCCCACCGGCACTGCGACCGCACCCCGACCTCCGCCCGCCTCTCCACTCACTGACAGCCAAACCCCATTTATACGCCTCACTCCAACGAGGGAAGGTTCACTGGTTTTTCTGTATTTTTAAATTTGGCTGCCTGAAATTAGACCATTTTATTTTTCATGTTGGCTCTTAACAAAATACCATGATACCATCTCTGTCTGCTACAATGTTTGCCTAAGTAAAGCTGTTAATGGCACTGTTCTAGAAAACGTCACCTATTCAAATCAAATAATATTTTTAAAAAATATTTGCTGTCATGCCATGTTTTTATGCTGATCTATGAAGTGTCTACCTAAAATCTAACTGAAGTGATACAATATTAAGAAAAGTACGCATCTGAAAGGGCAAAAGGCAGGGTACCAGATTTGCCCTGGTACTTCCAAAGACAGGGTTCGGGGGTGGCGTGGAACCCAGCGGAGTCTCATAGCGCCCTCTAGTGGCAAAAGTGCTCATAGAGTAAGAGAATGTCCGCAGAAATTAATTTGTGTATTTAATGTTCTGCATGCTTAAATATATATAATTTATCCTTTCCTACAGAAATATTGTTTCCCTAGAAATTATCTAAGCTAATATTTCTTTTTTAGAGCACAAACTTTATGACAGTCTTTCAAAAAGCAACATATCATTTAATACAACTTGAAGCTGCTGTAAATCTGGCACCATAAATAGGGCCAAAAGGAAAGGGAAAAAAAAATGTTCATTACAGTTAACAGGTCCCTAGCAGGTGTCTGGTGTCATGAGCTGATATTTCTTTGTGTCTAACAGTTACCTATTTGGAAAGAATTAGTATCTCTTAAGCTACAGTCTTTATCAGATGACATCCAAACTATTTTAATAGATGAGTTTTACAAAAGGAACCAGAGAGCAGCGACAATGTCCCTCCCCTTTCCCTGCAGCAAAGGGAAGGGATGAGATACATGCCACCTCCATGTAGACTTGATTGTCAACACTGCTAACAAAAACAGAGCATGTCATTTCTGAGAAGCTCAGAAAAGGGATTGAGCAGAAATTAAAAGGTCTCCCCCACTCTGACATGAAATCCAAAGGTATAATCAGTTCATGAATCAGTCTCCCAAATGGACACAGATGGGCACACAGAACCTCTCATCCAAACACATGGATACATTCTTAAACAAATATGGCCACTGTCTACAGAGACACACTTACGTTTCCATTAATGTACACGTCCAAAGTTGTACGTGCATAAACGGAAAAGTGACGGATCCTTTCTCAGTTCCCAGGTTTGCTCACAGGCGACAGTTGCACATTCATACGCAGCAAACACACAAGAAACACTCATGAGTTAACAACCGAGAAGATGGGTTTTGAAGGGAATTAACCCCATGAAGAGTAGGAGTGGAAACGTCCGGTAGAGTTTTAAAGGAAGGACAGTACAGATGAGAAAGTCGATGAGAGATGGTTAGAAAATATTTCACAAGGGAACCAAATAACACCAGCACAGGAAGTCCTTCTCACTTGCCTAAAATGGTACGGACCATGGAGGGTATTTCCAGACTTACGCATCTTTCGGCCCTTCCTGAGAAAGATCAAAGACTTGCCGTGGATTCAGGTACCACATAAACATCTGCAGGACTTTGGTTCCCTATAAGGGGGGGGAAGAAAAAAGAGAGACAATAATGGGAAGAAATTTCCAAATATTAGCTGCTTATTTAAAAAATAAAAATAATAAACCCTAGAATCTAAAATAATACCTAATTGTATTAATTAATACCTAAAATAATACCTAACAGATTAGAGAGGTGGTTAAAATCTTGGTCTTGGGCCAATGCCCAGGTTAGACTGCAGCTTATCCTGTGTAACTCTGGCAAGTTCCTCACTTTCATTAAGCTCAGCTCTCTCCTCTTTAATGTGGAGACAAGAAAGCCTCGTTCACAGACTTATTTCAAGGATTAAATGCAATAATGTTTGAGAGGCACGCACAGTGTGTAACATGCACCAAGTGCTTAATGAACAGTAACTACCAGTTTTACCATCATTACTTAGTGTATGAAAATCCATGCAGGGAAATTATTAGTCAGCCTATGTACTTTAACATTCATTTTTACTTTAATGTGCAGATTACTATTGCCTTTGCGCAACAGAAAATACGGGCAGTATGAGACAAGTATGACTTTATTGAAAAAATTTTTAACTGAAGCAAAAGTACAACAGGCCCCCCCCCCCATTATTTATAATACACATATATAACTTCTCCAGTTAGTGGCATCAAATCTTCCTTTGACATTTTTCAATTTCCATGTCTATATCTCTTTGTCCAAACCAAACATTTCTCTCACACATGAACACTCTGGGAATGTTTTAAGTCAATGTGACATTTATAGAAATGATCATCGTGGCAAACACAAGGCCCTTCTAAAGATCAATTCTGAAAGTGAACTGAGCAAAGAAATAAAGGACCTTTTTATTACACAGCATCCAATGAGATTTTAAAATGGGTAAAGTGCTTTATTTAGGCCAATTATCGACCACCGCAAACAGTATTCGATCAGTAGGCAGAGTTTGTTGCTTATAATTATTGTTCCTTTATTAGAAGTCACAATGGCTTTTTCTCAGAATAACCCTACATTTTTATACCTACTGTGCTGTATTTGAAGGCCATGCTAGTATGGTAGAACTAGCACAGTATTTGAGTTAAAAATAACATGGGTGTTCTAACTGGGGGATTGCAGGCATTTATAATCTTGCAGAAATTCAGCATATATTTAATAAAATAGGAGGGCGATGTATACTCCTCAAGGTAATTATGAGAATTAAATGAATCAGTAATGGGTATGTACCTAGCATAGTATATGGCACAAAATAGGCCTTTTCTAAATGTTACTCCTTTTCTTTTTTGCTCCTTGTTAATCTAGTCATTAAATTGCACTTGAGGGTATGAGGGCTAAAGTCTGGTTTACAATTATCTATCACATTGTTACACCAGTAATTACAGGGGCCAATGCGGGTCTTTCGTTCTTCATTTCATCCAAACCTACTAAAAATTTAAAAAAGTTCTGCTTCATCATGTGCTTCCTATAAATTTAGTAATAATATTCTATCCTTAACTATTACATCTAATCCTATAGTTTCACCGAAGGACGTCTTTTGCTTCATGTAAAATTCAGACATAGCTTTAGACACGTAATACTACCTAAATACTGAGTCATTTTCTTTCTTCCCATACTGGGCCCTTGTATCAGGTCAGTTGGGGATTATCTCAAGTAATCTTTTATGTTCAAAAGTCATTTTAATGACAAACCAAGTTATTAAAGATTTCTAAATGACTTGCTAGAAAATTAATTTTCATCTGTAGATTCCTAGAGCAATATGAATTGTTGATGTTAATTATTCCTTTCTACCTTTGGCTACGGTCGAGCGCACTTCTCAATTTCGGCTTCTTCTGCTATGCATACAGTACTAGGTGCTTGACGGATGTGTAGAAATAGAAATGCAAAGCATTTAGAGCTTATTTCCTTTATCTAAAATTTCTCTAGAAGGCTTGAGTGACACCGTTTTGTTGTTGCTCATTTTTCAATTTCTGTTCGTTGAAACACCTAATTATCGCCATTTCTCCTTTTGAGGGAAGGGGTGTTAACCAAGGCTGACAAACTTTGCACTGCCCGCCTGTAGGAGGCGCCACTGACATCACCGCCTGTGAGAATAATGCCCTCTGCAGTTGTGCAAAGATAACTGGCGTAGCTGCGCATTACATTCAGTCATTCTATAATTTCTTCTTTCAAAAAGGAATCTTTCTAAAATTTAATCATTAGCCGACAAAAAAGAAAATGGGGTGTCTGAACGAAAGCATGGCATTGTTTTAAATCATTTTTGGTAGCTGGAATAAAAAAGTCTAACATTTAAGTCAGTTCTACTAACTCTGCCATTACCCCTAAAATAAGCTACTTTAGAACTTTAAACGAGATAATTTATTCAATAGAACTGAATGGTCAGACAAATACTAATTCACCAGGAATAGTCATTTCTTTTAAATACACTCAGGGATTTATACAACTGTCATTCACTAACAAGTCGCCGTGTGCCACATGCAAGAACTGCAACTCTTGTGCGAGAGTGTAGTTTTCTGTAAATGAAAAAATAGATTACAAGATAATTCCCATGCTCTCTGGACAGGGTTTTCATACATACAGTTGTAGCTGTAATACCTCATTGACCACAGAGCTTTTTAAGATATTGTAAGATTGGATATTTCTCTGGAGTGATAAAACTGTTCTTTCCAGCTCTAGGTACTGGGGAACAGAGTGGGAGAGAAGAAAACAATGTCCTAGAAAATAGATTGTTCTTGAGGGAAATAAACAGGATTCAGCCGTTCACCCTCTATGTGTGAGACACAGTTTTATGGGAGGGGACAGAAAAGATGGACTAGACAGAGAAGATACTGTCCTCAAGAGGAAGTTCTATGAATTGCTCATAAAAGACAATGATTTGGGGGTATGGAGAAGCAATGAAGGATGGGTCGGCTCAAACAGCCCCTCAGTCTTCCTCAGAGCACTGCAGCTCTTGTGTAAGCTGAAACACTCACATACGTTACTCAGCGAGCCTTGTCACAGGTATCACAGGTATTATGTCAGAGTCACTACCAAGATCACGGCAAGAACTGCCCACATGAGAAGAGAGCCATGAGGAAGATAAAAGGTAATGGGGGGAAGAGGTTACGAAATAAGTATTTGAAACAGACTCTGAACAACCCCTAAGAAATACCTAATTTACTTAGTAAACACGTATTCGGCTCCCTCCGGGTGCCCACGTGCACAGCCAGGAGCTCAGGAGGAGAACAATGCAATAAACCAGCTCATTAAAGGTGGTGAATGCTATGGAAGAGATGCCGAATGAGCAGAATGCGTGGCCAAAGGAGATACTCTAAGCTCAAATCTGGGGACTAGATGGAGGCTTCCTACAGACGATACTCGGACTTTGTCTTGAAAGATGAGTAGAGAGAGAAGCTTCAGGATAAAGACAGCAACACACACCACAGAAACACTACATTCCATCCAGTCTTTGAACCATGAGGCAGGAGTGGCAGGCGACCCAAGTGAGTTGTGCGCTAGGTCACCAATGCTGAGGAGCGTGGGCTTTATTTTACAAATGATAAGGGTCACTGAAATGTTTTAACGAGGGGAGCTGGATGCACATGTTGATACACTTGTCTGGCTGCAGATTAAGCAGCTAGACATCCAGAGCCTAGACCTGTCTGAGGGGCTAGGTGACCTGGTTTGGGTTTTGGCCGCGGCTGTGGACTAAAGGTGTTCCTCCCAAATTCCTGTGGTGAAATCCTGCCCCTCAATCTGATGGTACTAGGAGGCGGGGCTTTGGGAGGTGCTTGGGGCATGAGGGTGGGGCCACCAGGGAGCTCCCCCGACCACTGCCCTGTGAAGACCCTGCTGTCTGTGGGCCAGGAAATGAGTTCTCACCAGACATCAGATTGGCTGGTGCCTTGATCTTGGACTTCCCAGCCCCTGGAATTATGAAAAATGAATTTCTGTTGTTTGTCGGCCACCCAGTCTATGGTATTCTGTTTTAGCAGCCTGAATAGACTAAGACAGCTGCCCTGGCATTCCCACAAATATTGGGACTTGGAAAAAGTCCCAACTTGGGGGTTTGCACATTATCCTTGTTTGGTTGTTTAAATTCCTTCTGTTGAGGCCAGCTTGACAAGAAGATCTCAAGCCTGAATTTTGGCACGCACCGTCACCGGCTGCCCTTCTACCCTCTTCCCAGCCTAATCCAAGTGTTAAGGGACTAAAATTTTATCTAAACATAATGCTTCTTAATTTATCCCCAGCTTGCGCATTGCAGAACACAACACCTTCATGGAAGTCATTTGAGTACTGAAAAACAGTTTGGGGGTTCAAATATTTGACATCATTTATACCTTTTTGTCTCCTCATTCTCCCCATACAGATGAGTAGTATAAGTCAATCTTTAAGAGGTTGACTTGCCCTTGACTTAGGAGGAATGGCCCTGGTCTGGGGAAGCTTGTCCACAGATGCTGGTGGGAACTTGGTCGGGAGGAGCCCGTCTACAGACTGAGCACACTTTCTTCCTACCACCTACGAATAAGGTCCTTGGGAGCTCAGACCCAGGGTCCACCCCACGCCACGCCACACCCTGGCGCTGGGATTTCACACTGATCAGCTTGGAAGCCAGGGTCAGGTGCCCTTAACGCTCAGGAAGGACTGGCTAGTTAGACTCGCTCTAGTGGTCAGAACATGTGCTTAACCATGAACTTATAATCCACGTCACTGGAAGATGCAACTCGTTAGAGCATGAGGGGGAGAGAGCGTGAAAGCAGGAAACATCAGGGGGTATCAGAAGGGTCTCTTAGACTCAGCAACAAAGATGTTAGTGGGTCAGAGGCATCCAAGAAAAATAAGTTATTCAGTTAAAGCAGAGACGAGCATAAGAGAGGGTCCTTATCTCTGGTGCCCTTGGGTTTCCATGAACAAAAGGGATTGTGCTACCTCTTCTCCACAGTAGACACTCAGAGGGGATATTGTGGTCCCTGATTCCAGCACCTGCTAACCTCAGAGAATTTAGATCCCAACAATAACAGCAGTGCTGCCAACCTCTAAATCTTTTCAAAAATCTAATAGGTTCCCCACGTTAAGTGTTAGAAAAACAGACAATTACTGTGAAGTATCTGTTTAAAAGATGGATTGTTTAAAAGAAGGACATGGAAGTAGTCCTTTTATGTGGTCATCTCACTCGGACAAAGCCTTGGAAATTTTCTGTCCACACTTAAAAATTCTGTAGAAGAAAAAAAAACTGTAGGTATTTTACTTGCCAGAAGATGGCGCTACAGTCCAGTTATTTAAAGAACAGAAACCTAAGCAAGTGGTTTTGTTGCTGCTGTTGTTAAGGTTAAAAGCCGAAGCTTCAAACACAGGAAAGAGGGGAACGCTCTATATGGAGAAGCAGATGAGTAGTATAAGTCAATCTTTAAGAGGTAAGAATCGGGATTTAACAGCAACAGCAACAACGAAGTATTTCTGTATTCACTGCAGTAAGCCCTTGCTGATCAGAATGGGGGCCTCTGCAGCAGCAACAGCGCCACCTGGGAGCAGACTTCCAGCGCCACCCCCTTACTCAGTCTCAATCTGCCTTTTCACAGGATCCCCAAGGATTCCTGTGTACTTTCAAGCTTGATTCTCAACATTGGCCACACAAGAAAATAAACTGGGAGCTTACACCAGCTACGCAGTCCAACTCTCACAGCTTCTAATTTAATTAGTACGGGGTAGGTAAGATATCACTGATTTTTAAAAACTGCCCGGCTACTCACTGCCTCCGGGGCCTCGGGCAGGGCCTTCCTCCCTGAGGATGGAGACATCAACGCCTTAAGCTGGAGGCCAGGGCGAGTTATTCTAACTGCACAGAGGTGTTTGGGTTTCTTTATGAGCTTTCTCAATATTTTACATTGTGCTTAGAAATAACGTTCTTCATATTTCTAAGGCTTAGGAAAGAATCTTATTTTATATAGGAAGTATATAGACATTTAAAGTTATGTGAGATTCATTTTTACTTGGTTAGCTATACTTCTGAACATCCTGGCCATTCTAGAAGTAGCATCATTAGGGCAACACGTTCACAAGCCAAAATGCATAAAAGGACATCAAAGTCATTATGTCTTTTGTCTCTAATAACTGAGCTTTTTCTAAAAAAAAATTTTTGAATATCTCCCTGTGATCTCAAGTTCTTCAAACACATCTCAACCCCTTTCCCAACAATTCTTTCATTTCCTGAATGCTTGTCAATAACAAAGATACCGTCAGGTAATCTGCTATAAACTCTTGATGCTTTACTTCCCTTTATGTATTCCATTCATTCATCTGTCCATCCACACATCCATCCATCAGTCCATCTGTCCACTCACCAGCCAGCCAGCCAGCCATTCATCCATTCACCGTCCATCCACCCAGCCACTCATCGATCCATCTATCCAGCTCATGCTTAAGTTTATGTGAACAGCCTGCTGACTTACACATATTCTCAATGGGTCACATTAGCCTTCCTTAAAGATGCTTTCATCATATTACTCTTTTGTTCAAAATATAAAATATTTTAAAAATAAAAAAAAAACTTTAAATGTGAAAAACTGTTCCATGGTACAAATCTGAAATCCGCAGCCACATTTTAAGACACTAGTCCAAGTTCATTCTAACCTTTACCTAACCACATTTCTAAGAATACACATGCTCCATTCACCACGCTGTCCTCAAAACAAATCATTTTCATCATGACATTCATTCATCTCTTAATACTGTTTATCATACAATTATTCATTCACTACAATATGCCACGTATTAGAAATCATAGGTTCAAAGGTGCAGCCCCTGGTACTTATTCTGGAGCAGAATCTTAGCAGTAGAGCCATACAGAGAGTGCTCAGCAATTCACAGAGAGCCAAGCGCTATGGGAACACAGTGCACAGGGCAATCATTTCTGAGAAACGGATCAGAACGGTGCTCTTGAGCCTTAAGGGACAACCAGGGACTTGCCACAGAAGGGAGAAGAGGAAGGGCATGACTCCAGCTTTCTCCCCTCTGCACGACAAAGTGCTGTCCCTCTTCTGCTTCAGCTACTCCCGTGGCACCGCGTCCTCGCCACTCCCCCAGTCACAGCTGCCTCTACCGTCCGCAGCGCTGCTGGGCTGATCCACTTGACTTAGAGTGGATGTTGCTGGCATTATTCTTCCCATTTGCCCCTTTTATGTCATTAACAGAAAAGATGTCCTCAGAAAATTCACTTAAGCCTCCTTGGGCTCTTTTGTCTCTAGTGAAAGAGGAAGCACCATGAGGTCATCTCCGAAGTCACTGTCATGAATAAGGTACACAGGGCAGCCTCTGTCTTTACTGGACTGCCCACTCCTCAAAGGCAGGGATCGCCCACAAGCTTCTGCGTGCCCTAGGAAAAGAGCTTATAATGAAATCACAAGAGTATTTTCTGTAATGACTATCATAATAAAGAATATTTGGCTTGTGGTGCTCAGGGGGCCCAGGATCAGGGAGTCAATGGCATGGGTTTTGTTTTGTTCCCCAACCACAGCCCAATCCTTGGGAGGCCGTGGGGAGACCAGACCCCAGAGGGAGGGCGCGCGTGGTTCCAGGCAAACGGAACCTCATTCCTGGATCACACCTGTGCAGGTCCTCCTCCGGGGACAGTGCTAGGGACACATCTTTAAAAGAGGAAGATCGCTCGGCAACTCAAAGCAGCAAAATGTTGAAAATAGATTACATCTCTGCTTACAGCATAACTTTACCCTGCTCGCTACCATGTTAATAGAGATTCTTAATTTTTTTTCAACTTCAGTTTACATTCAATATTATTCTGTATTAGTTTCAGGTGTACAGCATAGTGGTTAGAAAATCATGTACTTTACCGAGTGGTCCCCCTGAGGTTTCCAGTACCCACCTGGCCCCCCACACAGTTATTACAAAATAGTCATAGAGATGTAAATTACAACATAGGGATTAGAGTCATTAGATACTGGAATTCAGCCAGTCATCAAGCATCTTAAGGAAACAGAGGGAGGCGGAATACTTTCTTTAAATTACAAACACCCATGGAAGAAGTTTCATTGTACTTACTACAATCTAAAAACTGCATGCTCTCTTTAGCAATAAGAACATCACCTTGGACCACTGGCCGTTCTTAAGTACATAACTCCCCTCCTTCTATGGGGTGACTAAACTCTTCCAAATCTTTACGTTGTTTAGTGTGAAATGTCAAGGAATCTTGCTTAAAATGTAAAATGTACACTTCATGGACACAAAATGTTTTATCGTCTGATCTCACAAGAAAATAACAGAGAAAAATCAAAACCCAGAAAAAGCTTCGGAAAGATGAGGGGGACAAAGACCTGGATTCAAGAACAAACTCTGTCCTTTAAAGAGCTGTGTCCCTCTGGGTACATCATGACACTTAACCTTCTGAAGGCTATTTCTTTATTCTGAAATGAAGGTAATGTTAAATATATTCTAGGTTTTGGGCACAGACCCAGTGAAACATGGAGAAGGTGATATTTTTGATAGCATTAGTAGTGTTTGTTGTTGACAATTATCATGCATAATGAATCATTGTTCTCTTTCCTCAGAGGACAGGGACAGAAGCAGCCTGGTCTCCATTACAGTAGAAAGGAATAAAAATAAGGTCATAAAGGGCTTCTTAAACACAGGCGCTGAGAAACCCTGAAACATATTAACGAGAAACTGTAGAATGACCTTTCCTGAAAACCTGTAAGGGAGATGTGGGCTGTTAGGCTTCTGGGGGCCAGTGGCACAGTCATATGCAGAAGTCGAGGGGGACATCATGGGACACCTAGGCTTTGCCTAGCCCTGAAATGTAGGAGGCGCTCCCTGCCAGAGCAACAGTGACCTTGCCCGTGAGGAACTGGCTGTTTGCCAATGCTGGGGGTCAGGAGGTGCTCATTTAGCTGGTGCTGGGGATTGTGTGTTCGAGAAAGCACTGCGGCTTCCCAGTTAAACTCCTGAGAAATGACTCACCTGGTTGCCTCCACTCTTGGGGTTCACAAACACAAGCAAGGGTTTCATGAGAGGAGAAGAGATGGGTTTTATCACAAAAGGACGACCTTTGTTTTCCTGCTGAAGGAAGAAAGCAGCACAACTGAGACGTACATCCAGGACTTGACAGGCAGCCCCAAAGCAACAGGAGTCAGAGACCACCAGCGCCAACCCCCTCGCAAAAAAAAAAAAAAAAAAAAAAAGAAGAAGAAGAAGAAGAAGAAGAAGAAGATATGTCTTGTTACCCAGGGCTTCCTCTCAATAGGACACTTGGTGTAAAACTTAGAAGAAAGTGTCTCAGGCTATAATTTGCCCCTGAGAATTATGCCATGCTTTTGGTTTTATTCTGTATAATCTTAAGCATTCTACAAGTGTTAGCTTTTGTCTCCACATCCGCCATCTTTGGGACAATACTTCCACAGACAACGCGAATGCTCTGTGAAGGGGCAGGAGGTTATATTTTGTTTAAATACTAAGCATTCCAGCGTGGTTAGAGCAGAGTGAAGGAGAAAAGAGTGGTAGGAGATACACGAAAACAACAAGCTTAGGCCAGACCCCCTCAGACACGGGAGGCTGTGGTAAGGAGGGGATCCTGAAACACTTACTTCAGTTCCTTTTTTACTGGCTTTTCTTTTAAAGCTCGTTCTCTTCTTCTTCCGATTAGAAGCCTTCAGAGAGTTCTGGGAGGAAAGAAGGAGAGACCTGAGCTCCGGGGCAGACGGCCCCGAGCCTTCCCATGCAGAACCATGTAGGAGAGGACGGCAGCACATGCTGTTGGACTGCATGCTTCTCATGCTTTGACACTTCCAAGCCACTGCGCATGGGTAAGCCACAGACAGAGATCAGTCGAGTGCTTCAGAGTGAGCGACGGACTCCCCACCGCACGGAGAGGCAGGGAGTTAGAACCCTGGAGGCTCTCATGGACTCACATAACAACACATGTTATACCTGCCAACCCTCCCAGTAAAAATGGAAGAATCCCAAATTCTCTGAGGGGCTCCAGTCTCCCGCCCAACCAGGTCCGTCTCCCGCCCAACCAAGTTCAAGTTCATCTCCTGGTATGGAGATCACCTATATGGAAATGTAAAAAAGGAGGCCATTTTTTTATGTTTTTCTTTTTGTGTTTTTCCCCCCTTTGTCTCCTTTTTGAGGGGAGGAGTCATGACTGGTTTCAGTAGTGATCATAAAATGACTCATCTGCAGTGGAACTTGATGATCCAACTATCCCGTCAGCATTGGTGGCTGAGTTTTAAAATGCAGAGATAAGACTCACCCTTAAGTTACTTATAACAGAGTAGCAATCATTGTCTTTTCTTTTTCTAAAGACCCATTCTCTGAAAAAGTCTTCCCTTCCCTGGTAGCCTTTCTTCCCACAGAAGTGCCACCAACTGGTGAAAATACAGTGACCCCAAATTTATGTTCCCTGAATTTCTCTTTCTAAGGATTCTATGGACCACAACTCTGTGATTACTTCAACTAACCGTTCACTCTTCATATTTGATACAGATGCTTTGAAAAGAGCTTGTCTAAGGGGGCCGGTCACAGTTCACTTGTTGAAGACAAGCAAAAGGAGATTTCATTAGTGGGGTCAAGAACTGATTAGATTGCTGTCTTCCCAAAGGCAAGACATTACTACCCCATCGCAGATGTTCAACAAAGTGTCAAAAGCCTGAAATATAGAATTATTAACTCAAAAGTTTATATAAGTAAATACACATGCATTGCTTGAGCAGTTAGGAGTTTTCAAACAGCTTGAAGAGACTTAGATACCTACTCATCTACTACTTAGGGTATGTTTTCTTAGAGCATTCAAAATAAACCTTAATCTAGAGTACATATTATTAACACATCCAACTTAGCAAAATTGAAACTCTTTAGCTTTTAGTTTTCTTTCACTTGGACCTTGAAAAAAATAAGGTGATTTGTGGCCTGTGCTCACCAAGGATAAAGGTTAGGTTCTGGAAGCACTATTGTCTAAAAGTGTGTTCCCTCCAAAAATAAATAAAATAAAATAAAAAGGAAAGGAAAGGAAAGTGTGTCCCCTTATCAGGTGAAAAGAGCCTACAGGTTCCCTGGATCTTACCAGAAAAGGGAAACCGAGGCTGCTTTTCACCACTCGCTCTAGACTCTGTTACCCCTGCAAAGAAGTCTCCCAACTTCTGAACTCCTCTTTAAATGGGCCTATTATCATGTTGCTCTTTGGGGAAACTTTTGCCTTATGAAAGTATTTGCGATACTTTGGCTACTTTCCGTTTGTTTAAAATGGAAGGAAAAAAAATAACCTGGAGTCTTCAAATATTTAATCAGCCAAACGATGCAAGAAGGATGCTGGGAACAGGTGGGCTGGTCAGCCCAGTGCCTACTTGACGTCCATTAATGATGCTGAGTGGTTCTCCATCCTCACTGCCCATTGGCCTTACCCGGAGAGCTTTTACAAAATGCTGCAATCTGGGCCCCAGCAAATATTCTCATTTAATTGATTTAGTGTGAAGTTCAGGCAAAGGTACCTTTTAACAGCTCCCCGGGCAATTTTAACCTGCAGCCAGGGTCACAGGCCTCTGTCGGAGAAAGGGTGGAGTGAGGAGATGCATGTACAAGGGCGGAGCAGACGACCCGAGGGGTAAGGACCACAAGCTGTGGAACCTGGCAGACCGAGTGTCCGTTCTCAATGTCCCGTCACGAGGTCTGTCTCTCTAGATGAGGCTTTGGCAGAGTCGGTCACGCGTTTGAAATAACTGTCTTAATTTTAAAATAAAGGTGGTAATACCTACCTCACAGAAGAGTTGTGAAGTTTAAACCAGAAAATGTATGTTAGCTTGGTAAGAAGCAGTTAGCTTGGTATCCATCCCAGGATAAGGTCTTCCAAAAATGTTAGTTGCCTCGTTCACAGCTATATATCCCAGCACATAGCACAAATGCCTGGCAGATCATTTGCACTCCAATCATTGTTGAAATAATGAATCAGTATGATTAAAATTCACAACACTCACTGAGTCTTTCCTGATTTGAGAGAGGATCCTTAGGGACTAAATGCCTGTCTCCTAACTTCTTCGTTGTTTCAGTTCACTTACTACCAAAAGCAAAGCAGGATGCAGGCCAAGGGCTCACACACACACACCCTGTGGTTCAGGTTTCCTGACAGGACTCAGTAATTAGATTCGGAAAGAAAGATCTCATGGATCAGGCTGAGGGGTTCCCTAAGCTTCTCTGACCATGGGAATCAGAGCCCTTCAGGGGATTCTGACAATCCAACATGTTTGGGAAACAGAAAGTTAGAAAAACACGTCAAAAAAAGGCTTGATGTCTGAAAACAGAGCAGGCAAGGAACTCGATTCTAATAGGAAACAGACACACGAAACAAGTTTGTTTGTTTTTTAACACATGTAGCAAATACAAGTGCTTCCGAGCCTCACCGAGCCAAATGCATCTGAGTTCTTCGTCTCACAGAACAAGGGAGCAAAGACCAAGCAGTGGTTGACTTACAGTACCTGGGCGCCTCTATAGGAGCTCTGGGCAAGCTTACGGCCCTAGGGACAGGCAAATAGCAAAAGGTAAGCAGCGCGGAACTTCACAGCACACCTCAAAACTCCCGAGGCTTCCTTCTGGTCATGGGAAACATGTATCTGTGTCTCAATAGAGAACTCCTTTTAGAAGGCAGCCTACAGGGAGCTGCGGGGCGTGAAGGCAGATGTGGGCAGATGTTGGCCATGGCAAGACGAGCCAACCAGCCTTGCTGATCTACAACATCTCCTTCCCTGCCGGGGTCAACGCTGCTGTGAGAGTGAAATATCACAGAAACCTCAGGAGTGTAAAAATTATACCATGAAGTTATTGGGTAGAATTGTTGGTGATGTATTCAAGAAACCTTTAAATACTTGTCCTGTGTTCTAAAACAAAGCACCCTGTTATCAAGGGCCGCTACCTCTGGGATACAAAGGGGCCACTTGGCAAGTTCAATACTAGCATAACAGTGAACCCTTGCACCCTCCTTTGGGTGTTTGCTTTCTTCTGATTCCAAGAGCATTCGCCCCCAGCACATTCTGTGCCCACTCTTTTGTTAAAGTCCTAGTAAAAGATAAAAGCTTTTTCTTTTCTTGTACCAGGTATCAGGCCAGTTTTACCTTGCTGCAGAAATAATCCTATCAACAAAGTCTTTATCATAGTACGGTGCCCTCCTGCCTGTTAAGAAATGCCTGTGGGTGAATAATTCAACTGTGACTGTAACTTAACTGCCTTTCTCTATTCCTCAGGGATTTGTCCAGGTTATGGGATCGCAAAGAATCAGTAATAGTAACAGTCTCAAGAGAAGATATCTCACTTCTTCATCCCAAATGAAGCCTTTCCCCATGATATACTGGACAAACCTCTGGCAGATAATTGGAGGGAGACTAGTCATGGGCTCTGTCTACTGAAGAATGTTCTCACTCTGCCCTGTGCCACTGACCAGCAGGACAGAAGCTGTCCTGAGAATGGGCAGGCAGAAGAAGAAAGAAAACATACCCCAAAAGTTACGGACAGGGCGTCAGCAGCTTCTCAGGTGCATCTGGCTAAAACACAACAAGTATTACTCAACCTTTAGAACTGACCAAAGGAAATGCCTTGGGAAATGCCGAGTGATACTGCTGTCAGAGCCGTTACATGTCATGAGTCAAGTCTGCGGCATTCTAAGATTATCCAGTCATAAGGCGTGAGAAAGGATTCACGAGGAAAACCCATACAAGGCTAGAAAGTGGTTGATTCTGGCATTTTAATACATAGACTATTGGAAATGATATAAATATTGACCCAGTAGAGAGTTGGCTAAGTAAACTAATATAAGCATAGCATAGAATATATGTGGTAGTTTAGATGTGTGTTAAATATGTACGTATTCATATGGCCTTTTCCCCAAGATTCATTTTTTTCCACTAGGAAATTTTGGCAAGTTTCAATGCATTATGTATAAAATAATGTCATTTATTAAAAACACACCTCAAGTCTTTTATAACTTGACTCCACAAAAATCCATGTAATGTAGTCTTCCCTTCAGTTCTAAGTGCCAAAACTAGGATTTGAGCATTTTGACTTGTTTATCCAACCAAGACACTATCCTCTACCCTTTTCAGCACAGAAGAGAAACACCGACGTCTGTAATATCAACCATAACTTTGACTTTAAATATATCACAGATTCGGTTTCCTTTTAATTCCTTAGCGCTATCTACCTTCTATCATACTCTAACTCCTAGGTCTCCCCTAATAATTTGGTGATGACACCCAGCACGTCACCCAGGCAGCCCTCATTCCCTGGTCTCCAGTGTTTCACACAACTCCCAACGCCCCAGCTGCCCGCCGAGCAGCGGCCCATTTGGAGCCGGCCATCCTTCAACAGAGAAGGAGAGCACGTGGTTTCATCCCACTCTCTACAACCCGCTTTCCCTGACTGTGTGTGTGTGTGTGTGTGTGTATGGAAAAAATATATAGTATATAAATTCTGAAAGTTGGAAAAATACTTTCTCAGCCGTTCTCTATCTACCTTCCAAATTCTCTCATTTCCCAATGTCTCCAATGAACTGTCTAATCTTACCATCTCTTCAGCATTGCTAACAGGTGGCTTCCTGTGTCCCACACTCTACAAACTATCATTTTGATGGCATCAATGATCTGGTCCCAAACACAAGGACTTTTCTCAATCTATTGTCTACAGAATTTAACATCAATGACTGCCCTCTTTATCTTCCCATTTTAAATGATGAAACTCTGTGTTATCATAGTTCTCTCCTTGTTTTGCAGGATTTTCTTCCTCTTTCCACCCTCAGCAGGGTAGATGCTTCCTCGGTCTTCTCCCCTCCTTGTATTCGGTGAGTGAATAGGACCTGACTGTCCCCCACGGGGTAGACATCACACTTACGGACACACAGTCCCACTGCAGTGTAAACTACGACAGCCACCGGAGTCCAAGGTGTACTGGGGACACAGGAGACAGCAGGCGGTGGCCCCTCTTCTGTCTCTTTCTACCCTCTCCATTCAAAATCCCATGCCCTTCCCATCCTCTTTCATTGTAATACAGATGGCTCAGGGATCAAGACCTTCTGTCCTGACCCCCGTATGACTACCCAATATTTTCATCTGTTGAAGTACAGCTTTGCCCGATACCTGTACCCCTAAAAGTCAACAAGAAGGAAAACAAGAGTGTTGACAATGAGCCAGGTGCTATTCTATGTACTTTATCTCTTTTGCTTTTTAGCTTATTGGCCCATGAAAATCCTGTGAATCAGGTACTAGTATTAGTTACACTTTGCAGATGAGAAGCTGAAGGAGAAGGATTTAAGTTGTTTGAGACAGTACAGATTATTAAGTGGCAGAGCGAGGTTGTGAATCCAGACGGTGTGGCTCATAAGCTAGAGCTCTTTAGTGCTCTCTACTGCCCCCAAAGCTCATCAAACATTAGCTTTTACATAGAATCTAGCTGATTAAATTACTTGATGGGAGGGAGACCACCCAATTTTTCAAGATATCTGAATCAGCAAGGGTTGCTGATGTAGTATAACAATGAAGAGCTTGGCATATCACTAACAACTTGATTTCCAGAATCAGAAACTCTGGGCTCAAATGTCATTTTAAACTATTTAATACCTATAGGGATCCAGGAAATTTACCTGACTTCTCTATTACTCACCTTCCTCGGCCACAAAGGGGGAATAACAGCATACCTGCCTCATAGGGCATTGTGATCATAAAATGAGATAGTGAGTGTGAAGTACTCAAAGCGTTTCCTAACATATAAATGTTAGCTCTCCGTATTCTTACTATAATGGCAAGAATCACAGAAGATAATAAAAAGGTCCGTAATGAAAAAAATTTGGACTACAGCACCCAGATCGTGAACTGTAAGTACCACCTCCCATTAAAAGTAACCAAGTCTCCTTGGAGAAATGGCTAATACCAGGTACGGACAGGAAATGCACATGGTGTTATTCCTGAAGCCGAGGAAGCTATCCCAAACTTCACGGCTCATGAAAAACGGAGACAGGAGCCACCTGGAAGGGGTTCTAACTGGGCCAAGGTGGAACAATGAGAACATAAGAATAATAATGATGCCAAAGGATTAAAACACATCATACATTATATATATCACATAATGATGCACATTCATAATTGAAAATGACACTCTCCAAAACAACTCCCGTGCCCATCACCACTCTTAGCTACGTAATAAAAGTTGTCGAAGTACTAACTCGCAACGTCTTCTGAAAATGTACAAACAAAGGCAAATACTCAAGCATCTGTCATGTATTGGCTTGTAATAAGGGGAATGTCTGTTCAAACACAAATCATAGCTAAAAAAAAATAAAGAGTAAAAACTGGGAAATCACCCTTTGGCAACCCTAATAAAATAATAGATTCGGGTAATAATATGTATTAGATAAAATAGGTAAAGGGCTGATGGGCAACTTTATGACGGATGGATTAGGATGAAAGTTCCTGAACATACTTATCAACCTTCACATCACTAAACGTTAGGGACCTGACATATGCTGCTCCCTTTGAAAGCAACACGACAGAAATACCCATCATTGCCCATGTAGTCCTTTTGCTAAAAATTGAACTGAATCTCATTAAATCTAAGCATTATTGTACAAGAAATATGGGCATTAAGGGAAAACATTTTAAAACGCAATAAGAATCCAATCAGCCAAAATAAAAATCTAAGAAATTTTACAGGGAGAGTGATCTAATTTATTTAATAAGTGGCATGAAAAGTAAGAGAGGGGATTGTTATAAATTAAAAGAGAGTTAAGGTATGTCACTAAAAAAGGCAGTTGTGAACTTTGGATCTTGAGTTGAAAAAAATAACTGTGAAAAAAATTATATTGAGACCGTCAGAAAATATTTTAAGGAATTGCTCATTTTGATGGGTGACATAATACGTGGTTGTCTTTCTAAAATGTTACCTTTTAGAGAAGCAAAATGAAGTGTTTACAGTTTAAGGGATATGCTGACATTTGCTTTAAGAGAGCCCAACCAAAGGAGAAAAGTGGGCAGACTCCCATTTCCAGGAAGACAGAGTAGGTGGGGTGGGACCAGGAGAAAAATGGATGTGGCTACAAAAAGGTAGAATAAGGGTATTTCTGGAGACAGGCTGCTCTGTATCTTGACTGAATCAATGTTAACACCTGGTTGTGATATATTGTACTATCATACTGCAAGACGTTACCAGGAGGAGGAAACTTGTAAAGGGTACATGGAATCTCTCTGTATTATTTCTTACAACTGCATGTGAATCTCAAAAAAAAAAAAAAAAAAAAGATAAGGAAAAGGAATGATGGTGTGGCAGGGGATATATGAAACAATGGTAGAAAAGTTCACGTTACAAAATAATCCATTATCACCTTCTCTCTCTCTCTCTCTCCACTTGCTTAAAAATTTCCATAATGAAAAGATTTTTAAAGTTTAGAAAAGTACACTTAACAATTCCCCTGCAAAGTGGTATCATCTTCTGATTTTCCTAACTGGTCTATCTTCAGTCTTATGAAGTCCCCTACTACCGAGTTATTCTACACACTCTTGCTCCTTGTTTCCTTCTAAAAAACAATTTTTACTCTGTTACTCTTTTGCTTAAAAGGATAAAGTTCACATAAATAAAATATTCCCAGCCAGCCAGGCCTGAGCAACTCCCCGCCCCCCACGAGGCCCCGCCCCCTGGTACACTTTCTACTGCGGTCAAGCTTGTCTCATAGCCCCGTGAATGTAATTTTGGACCCAGTCACTTGTTTGCACCACTCTCCTGCCTGCTATTTCCTCTCTTCCCCACTGATAAATCCCACCTGTCTTTAAGGGGTAAAATAAAACCCAGCTCCTTTAGGAAGCTCTCCCTGATCTTTTCTGAAGATAACCATGTGGTTATTCAGAGCAAGGATCACGTATTACATCACAGTGCCCAGGAGTCGTCCTGACGTCATTGAGGTTTTTGATGAAAACAGGTTGGCTCATGGAGAGATTAGCACATTTCAGGGGGAAAACATAGGTAAAAATGTGAAAGAGATGTTTAAATAACACTAAATTGGAAATCAGTACACTTGAATTTCAGACACCATACTAAAGTTGTATATGTCACCTTGGGCAACTCACTGAACATCTCTTGGCTCTAAAATGTAAAATGAAAGGACTAGTCTCCCCATTTTTTAATGAATAGATACCGTACTTGCCTCTGGAAAAGATCTCCCAAAGGTGTCCACGAGTTGTAACTTGGAAAGATTATTCCCAAATATTACTTATCAGCAGAGACTAAACTTTATATAAAACACACAAATCAAAACAGAGTCCCTGATCCAAGAGTTTTTAAATAAAAAACTGAGTCAACGAGAATAACTTGCATGATAATTTTGGAGACCATGTTAAAAGGGATTGGACTGCTATATCATTTAAAGACATTACATTCAGTCGGACTTCCTAAGATACCTGCACCCAAGGGAGGTATAACCTCCTGGTAGCGTTGAAAGTCTGCCACCCCAGAACTTGGAGCTAACTGTCTAAGAGGTATAGCACAAAGGTAGAAATTTTTCTGTCAAACATTATGACTCTTTGATAAACCACCCAGGTTTCCCAGAAGTGAGGCAGAACCTCTCTTGGACGGAATGTACAATGAGGAAAGTACAGGGAGGACAAGCTGTACTTGGCCTTAAGATAAGTGTTGCTCTGTAAATAGGCCTTGTGCACTTAGGAAAATCATGACCCACGGTCTGTGGATCGGGTCAGGAGAGGGAGCGATCTCCGCCACACCAGGAAGCCTGCACGGGGTGCCCTCACATTCCCTCCCCGGGGGGTTCCCAGGCAGGAAGAGAAGAGAGGCACACAGGAATCAGCTGTACCCACCACGAGTGCTTAGGGAGCTCAGGAGAGCACCGAAAGAGAGTAGCGTTAGCACATGGAGTGGAAGGAAACACTCCTGCTGTGGAACGTGGATTTCTTAAGAAGACGGGGCTAGTTCCATGAGAGAGCCCAACGCAGTACGGGGATGGGCTGATGGGATGAACTGGGAAGCTGCGCAGGGGACCACGGGGAAGTACGAGCAGAGATCGTAGAGGCCCAGGAACTAGTCAGGGGGAGGAAAGCAAGAAGCAGCAGTTCCTCCCTCTCTGCGCTGGCCCGGCAGCACCAGGGTCCGGGCAGTTACCTGAGGTTTCTTCACCTTAATGATCCACGTGGGCGGGACAATGACGGCAGCATGAGCCCCCAGGGAGCAGGGTTCCTCAATGTGATGCAGCATGAAACACGTCACCTTATTGTGAAACTGAAGAGAAAAACAGGCCAGTAAACAATTCTGTGCAAAGGGCAGTGCTGCAGCGAGAAGGAATAAGTATGTGTGTTCACACTCATGCATGTACATGCAAACACACACACACACACACACACACACACACAGAGTGACCCATGCTTCTCCTCGACCAGCCCCACAGCTGAGAGACCAGATTTAGAATTCATTCTGTTTGCAAATGGATAACAGTTAATAAGAAATCAGTCTTATAGGGCAGGCCAGCTAAAACTTGACAAGCTCATCTTCTTTTTTAGTACCTCACTTCTATATTTTTTATTTTATGTTTTAATTTTTATTGAATTTGTTGGGGTAACACTGGCTAATAAAGTTATATAGGTTTCAGGTGTACAATGCTACACTACATCATCTGAGTATTGTATTGTGTGTTCACCACCCAAAGTCAAGTCTCCTTCTGTCGCCATTTATGCCCCCCTTTACCCGCTTCTTCTACCTCCCCCTACTGCCTTTCCTCTGGTAACAACCATACTGTCATCTGGGTCTATGAACTTATTTTTAAAAAGATTTTATTTATTTTTAGAGAGGGGAAGCGGGGGAGAAAGAGAAAAGAAACCTCAATGTACGGTTGCCTCTCGCACGCCCCCTACTGGGCGCCTGGCCTGCAACCCAGGCATGTGCCCTGAATGGGAATCGAACCAGCAACCCTTTGGTTTGCAGGCCGGCACTCAGTCCACTGAGCCACACCAGCCAGGGATCTATGAATTTTTTTAAAGAGGATATTTACCTACAGATGTCAGAGTCTTGGATGTGTGCGTGAAAAGGGACTACATACTAAATTTGACAAGCTCAGGGGAAGCCAGTGTGGTGGGCTCTATAAAGTCAGAGATGGAAAGCAACCACCTAGGATGGTCTGAACATAAAAATTCCTAATTAAAAGTGAGTCACGGTGGGCAGTCATGTCCTAGGCCTGCAGATTCCATGACAAGAGCCAGTCTTTAGCTCGGTGATCCGGCCTTTCGTCTTTTTGCATCTAGGATAACGCACCTTTGACATGTCAGAGTAAACCCCCTTTTCCCGACCCCTCAGGGCCTGCCCGCACCACAGAGCCCACACACCCCCTCACTGGTATCTTGTTGCCCTTGCACCCTGTCTACATGCAACAAACGTTATTAACTATCCAGTTCCCACCAATGTAAAAGAAGTATGTGCTTCTCTATTTTTGCCTTTTTATCCAATCACAAAGATTTCCCTGCTTTGCTTTCTCCTGCCCCTTCAATCGACCCCCAATGGACTTCATGTCACCCACCTTTCATCTCTCCCTTTGACTCTAAGGCAGTGGTCCTCAACCTTTTTGGCACCAGGGACGGGTTTCATGGAAAACTGGGAAGGGCCAGGAGCTCAGGTTCCTAACAGGCCTCAGTTCCCTGTTCTAATGTATAAAATAAGCTGTAAAACTGCCATTCTCTGCAGCATTTTCTCTATCTGTTGAGATTTTGCTTCCTGGCAACTGTCATCAGTTTGGCTCAAATACACTCAATAAAATTCTCTACAGGTTTGAATGTTTCTTACATGGACAGAGGGTTCTGTCAATCCTAACCCTGTGTGTAACTTTGTTTCACTTGACATGGCTGGTCATAGACTTGCGTAATTGAGGATAATGCTGAGGAGGAAAGCAGGATGAGTGGAGAGGCAGTGCCCACCCCCTGCCTCTCCTTTTTCTACCCACAGATGTAAATCCTCCCCAGGGAGTCTTCCCCTTTAAGGGACCCAGGAAAGAAGCAAGACGTCTCTTCTAGACAGCTGTGAGTCCAGGAAGTAACAAAGAGCAAAGAGATCGCTTCTGTGGGGTTTTTGAGGGCCACTAAAAAATATAATAGTCCTCTTGGACTTGGCGAGTCTAAAGTGCTTTTTGTTATTGAAGGAAGGAAGTAAATGTAGACTAATGATCATAACAATACCTCAGTATTAGGGGCTTAATTCTATCCTGAAACGGACTGAGCCAATCACATTTCAATCAGCTTTTGTGTGGCTGTAATGTGAGAATGATGTATGGTAACATCTGTTTTGTAATAAACATAAAATCACGTTACACAATAATTACAAGCCTTAACGTTTTAATCATAGTGATTTTCAAAAATTTTACATCAGTTTCTACTTGGATTATATTTAATGTGACCACCTAATTTATCATCTCAACTGGAACAATTTTAAGAGCAAAAGGGAGCACGGTTAATAATTAGGTTGGAACAAAAGCTACAAATTAGGACCGTCTCAGGAAAACTGGCAAATATGGCCATCCCAATTACATCCCATCAGGGAAGTTTTGTCTTCATTTCTGCGTATCTTTAAGATCTGACATGATCCAGTGGCTAATTACTAAATCAGTTCATAAAGTGTGAAATACAGTTTCATAAAAGAATTAATAATCCATCCAAGCACCAGTTATCTGTGATTGCAAACAATTTGATATACCAGAGAAATGTTATTTGAGTATCTTCTTTAAAAGGAGATTCTCTCATGGGATGCTGTTAGTGGGGAGTGTGGGATTGTGTAAGGAGAGGAAATGTATGGGAGATCTCCCTACTTTCTACTAAGTTTTTCTTTGAACCTAAAATCATTCTGAAAAATAAAGTGTATTAATTTTAAAATTTAACAAAAGATCCACTAATGGATACTAAAATCAGTAGGCAACAGTTTAAGGAGAAATAGGATCTCAGCATAATCTCAAAATATCTCCCCCAAATATTTATCAGTTGGAAAAGGAAACCTAGTAACTTTACTATGAAGATATAGCAAATACCACCTTAATCAAATGATCAAGGTTAATATCAGTAATAAAACACAGATGTTAGGTACCCCTGCATAAGATGCACTGAGGACCCCACATCGCTTCTATAGTATCTTGAATAAAATAAATAATTTCAATCCAGTCAAGAGAAAACGCAAGGCAAACAAGTTGGGAGACATGCTACATAATAACCAGTTAGTGGTTATTAAAAGTGTCAAGGCCATGAAAGACAAAGAAAGAATGAGGAAATGTCGGAAATCCCACAGCTGCAGGTACTGTGGGATCCTTGATCAGATCCTGGGACATTAAAGAAGAAACTGGTGAACGTTTTAAACATCCGTAGTTTAGTTGATACTAATGTACCAATGTTAATTTCCTGGTTATGTAAATTGTCAAATCAGAGGAAGCTAGGGGAAGCTGAGTAGAAGGGTATACATTAATGTTCTGTACTATTTTTGCAACTTTCATGTTAGTTTAAAATTCTTTCAAAATAATTTTTTAAGTGATTTTCTCTTAGCAATGGAAATAAACCCCCAAATGAATGGCCACTGTGTTTCTAAAATGGAAGGGATCTCAGAGCCGCCTCTCTCAGCTCTCTCAATTTAGACCTGAGTAACCTCCAGCCCGGAGAGGGTGAGAGGCATGTGCAAAGCGCACAGCTTTTAAGTGGTAGAGCCAGGACCTGAACCCAGGAAACCCCGCTCCCAAGCCCAGTCTTCTCCCTGACGCAGCAGATGCCCACAGAGGGCACCTATTTGTTTTTTTGACATCAGACAGGCTAGAAGGGATTACCTGTGGTGTTAAAATATATACTACCACTCTAATTTGTCTTTAAATGTTTTGTATTTTTAGGCCTTGCAAAGTCACCTTCCGTACACACGACCCTGGGAAACTCAAAGATGTGGAACTGACCGAAGCTCCGCCACAGCGGTGAAGTGAAAGCTGTCTTTGTAGTCCTTCGATTGGACTGCAGATTAATAAAGAGAGCGCACATGTGTTTTCTGGGAAGTGAGACTAAGTTCCCAAATTAGCTGGCCCCGGATAAACCCCCCAACCACAGCCTGAGAGCGATGGGGGCGGGAGCAGATGCTGCCACTCTGGGCCCACGTCCCACAAGTCGGGCCAGGCAGGGAAGCCGGCAGCACAGGCCTTGTGGGGACACCTGGACCCTGGCTCTGCTTCCTCTCCTCCAGGTGGAGATCCTGCCTCGGTGGTACAGTTTCGGTCCAGAACGAGGGTGGCCTTATGTTTGTGACTGTGCTCTTGAGCAGAAGCACAGAGGCTATGTGTGTAAGAGGTAACTGAAAAGAGATGGACAGGCCAAGAAGAAGATGTGTGGCAGGGTGGTGACGGGACGAGCACAGGGCTTTGCGGACCAGTGCGCCTCTGCGCAGTGACAGCAGGTTCTCCGGACACGCAGGGGCCCAGGGAGATTACACTGGAGAGGTTATCAGGTTGAATCTTACGGAATTGCCAACATTCCAGAGTTGTGACTCACGAAAATGTCAGTTTCACAAATTTCAGCTACATGCATCTGCTCCTGCCGCTTGGCCTGAACCCGACGTGAGCAGCGAGCTGAAGGCCTCCTGCCAGCACTTAACCTGGCTGAAACGAGGGCCTTTCTTTGCAGGTTGTCGTTCAAAAGAGCAGGTGAATTGGGAGGTGAGAGCAGGGGTCCACGAACTTGTCCTATACAGGCCCAGATAGCAAATATTTTAGTCTTATGGGGACGCACTGCCTGGGTTGCAACTATTCAGCTCCGTCATTGGCATTAAAGTAGCCATAGAAACTACATAAATGCAAAGCAGCCACAGACAATACATAAATGGGTGAGCATGGCCGTGAACCAATCAAACTTTATTTACAAAAATAGGCAGCAGTCAGAGTTGGCCTGTGGGCCATAGTTTCTTACATCAACAGAGAGTTCTGTCAATCCTAACCTTGTACATAACATTGTTTCACTCATAACTTTGCCAACCATGAGTTGGAGTATAGATATACTGTCTGCTTAAAGAAAAGACAGGTACATAGGCAAACAAGAGCGGGAACCATCTGGTTGGGACAAAGAGGTTAAAAAATGAAAAAATAAAAGGATAGATTAAAAAGAAGAAAAGTAAACAGAAAAATTACTATTGGATTCTCATGAATATATGTTCAAATGTAAGGAAAAGTTACATTTCAATGAGCATAGAGACAACTGTAACAATATAGAAATTTAAAGTTTACAAAATCATTTTTATCCTAACAAAGCCTCACAAAAAAAGGTACCCACATCAAAAACAGAAGAACCAAGATGCCTGAACTGATGTTAGAAGGATCTTCGAATGCTGCAACTTCCTACCATAGCAAGAGTTGTCAACAATCTAGTATGTTGGGAAACAAATATGGTCTAGGGGTGAGAAGTCCTCGATTCTCAACTCAGGGTTAGAACCAGCAGGGAATTTTCCAGTCTCTGGTCCCAGAATTCAATGTGTAAAAATACAGGGGTTAATTTATCTCTCATTTTTCTCCCAGCTCATATATGCTATAATTCTACAGTTTTAATGTGTTGCTTTCTCCAGCGATCCCATGTGAGGGAAACAACACATACGTGGAGGTGACGAAGGAACAGGAACTCTGGCAGTGACATAAGTCTCTTTGGATAGAACATGAGCCTGCTTTGTTTTATTTCATCCCCAAACTTACCGCCTGCTTGCACCAGGAACAGCTGATAGCCACAATCTCTTTACTGTGGAAGGAGAATTTCTGCTGAAAGCCCTGGGTGTTAGGACAAGAGATAGAACATTTAAAACCACTTCAGTGTGTGACCGCCCTCCTGAAGTCCAAAGAAGCGAGCAGAGCCAGGATGGGCCCCGCCACTCCAGGTAACCAGCACCGTACATGCCTCGTTCAGCACGTACATCCTCCACCCTCTGCCATGCGGAAGTTTCCCATTAGAGAGGAGGTCCCGGGATCGGCTGCAGCACTACGCACTCAGAGTCCACCACAAAAAAAGGGCGGGTACCCAAATAATTGTGGTTCTGAAATGTTTTTATTAAAAGCAAAAGAAAAACCGCTATTGGGTCACATGGTACTTTATAACAATGGTCATCCATCTCAGAGGTTCTAACAATGCTGACATCTGAGAAACCGCAAAGAGAGAAATTAAGGATCAGAGAGCTGGGACCCAGAAGTCAGGGCCTGGGAGAGGTCCAAGGGGCGGAGGAAATTCAAAGGCTCTCATCATCCCCTTGGGATGTCAGGTCTCAGAACAAGCGGCTTTCAATTTTACTCTTTGCCAGCAAGCATCAATGAGATTAATGGAATGGCAAATGCAATCCTTTTAAATGAACAAACAGAATTACTTTTCCATCAAGAACGGAAGAGGTGCTTTTTGGCTGCTGCTGTCCCTAAATAATTACCAGAGAGAAGGATACAATAATGCTCAAAGGGTGGTATGTAGCCTCCCAAACCTCATCCATTCAATCCACCCGAGGCATCGAAACCCCAGCAAACGAAGGCAGGGCAACGACAAAACGTTTTCAAAGCAGGACTTGGGTAAAGTGAGCAAAAGAAAATGCGATGGGCCAGAAAGCTACTAAGGCACTGGCTGGGGAAGTCTTGCTTAATGTCTACATGTAATTTTAAGTAAAAAGAAAATCAGTTTACACATTAAAAGAGTTCCCCTTCTAAACCACAGGCCTTGCCACCTGTAGTGCCCTTGGCATTAATGAGCAGCTGTCCTAAGCTGTTGGTTACTTCATGGGCACCTGCATGAGCTCTGCAGGGGAATTACAGCTTCCTGAGAGAATCCCTACGATGGATCTTAATAGGCTCTCACGGCTTAGCATGGCTTGCTGAACTTCATAGGCATGGCATGCGTACCTTCTGATGAACTAAACACAGTCATTGCTTCCACATCAGGATCCACGCACCAACTTCAGTCTGTCTAGACTTTCCACTCCTAATCCAAACCGCCTAGAAATATGCTTCCTCACAAGCCTCTCCTCCAGCCCTACAAACGCTGCAAACCTGCGTGCTTTTAAGTTAAGGAAGTCTGCATTATAGACGTGCCACGTGGTTGGAAATCAATACGGCGGACTGTTGTCATGGCAGCAGCGGAAGCCGCAACTAGGGGTCTACTGAGTGCTGTTGTATCAAATGTATTGTTAAACAGCGTCTTGAGTGCTGTTACCCAGTCACCACTTCCCCAGTTCATACTTCAGATGGCGGTACAGCAGACAGAGGCTGACAAGAGAGATGGCTGAGCTGAGCGTAGTTGTTGGATCTTTTTGCTGACTGGGAGACCTTAACCTTCCCCCTTCTCCCTTTGCCTGACGGTGGTAATTACAATACAAGCCTCTCCTCTACCACTGAGTAGTTATGAGATTCAAATGGGCCCACGTATTTGAAAAGTTCTTTATAACACTCTATAGGTAAATGAAGTAGTAGCTCTATAGCTAAGACCTATCAACAGGAACGTCTTTTGCCGCTTCACAGACAAAGCCTCCTGGTGGCCAACGTGTGACTAGCGATACTCTGGTTGATGGCCCAGAGGGAGAGTGGACTAGCCTTCCCTTCCACTGAACGCTGGCATCCTGGCTTCGGGGAGACATAGCTGGGCCCTGCCAGCCAGGCTGGTGCCAGAAGCAAGCAAGGCCGGCCACCGCCGGGCACCGGGCGCTGCCGCAGGGCCGCGCGCATCCCTGCGGAGGAGCCTAGTAGCAATTGACTCTGGCCTGTGTTTCGGATTCTAGCCTGGAAGAGCCCAGAGGCCATACCTTCAGGGTCACCGTCTAACACAAAGACATACGCAGAACCCTATCAGGGCTTCCATGGACCAGCCACCTGCAACGGGATCTCGACACGGCAGAAAGAGCCAGGTTCCTAGCTGCCCATTTTTAAACGCTGGCCCACATTTGACGGTGTGGTACTGACAGGTGCCCTCGCTGAATTTCAACCGACTCGGTGATGTGTAAGGGCTATTCTGTTCATCACTAGCAAACAGGAAAAGAGGGCGGTGAGGTCAAATGTCTTGGATCTAACTGACTTCAGAATTATAAACAGCAAGAACCTGGAGAGATAAGGTTTTCTTAGGGGCGGGGGGGTCAGTCACATTGAGCTCTTGAAGTAAAGTTTAAACGACATTTTATTCTTAGCAGCTAAAACTTCGTTGCCTCTTTTTTCTTCCGCCACCTAGAGCGTGTATCGAATAGCACTCAGCTCTGACAGCCTGGGCTGAAACCGGAAAGGAAAGGGGGCTTTACTTGAAAGAAACCAAAACTATTTTATTGCCTTATGTAGCTGAGGAGCGGGTGAGGGAGTCTCCTGACCATAGCCGACCCCTTGCTTGATTTAACTTCATTTAACACAAGAGTTGATACTGCTCTTGACTCCGAAACTTTAACCAACAACAAAATGAACCTCTCCATTTCGCTCACATGTTCAAAGTATATAAGGTGTTACAAAGAGCAAACCCAAGGGAATTTTAAAGTAAGACTAAATCAATATTTCTCTTAAAACAGAGAACTTTAAACATTCTTTGTTTGAATACTCTATTATTTTAAAAATACATATAATTTTACGCATTTTATGTTTTAATGTCTAACATGTTCACCCTAAGTTTAAATTAGATGCAAAGTTCAATTTTCTAGCCAAATGGAATGAAAGTTTTCAAATAAAACTGTTATACCGCTCTCATAAACTTATCCAATGGGACATAAACACCATACCAAGTGGGCACTCGCTAAAGTGAAGGGAAATTTTTCAGATCAGATCAGACCTTCACTAGATCTCAGACTGGCTGAACCACCTCAGTGCGTCCTCTAATTTACCTGAACTTCCTAAGTTTCCCACGCTGAATTTACTGGTCTGAGGCTAAAACTTTTCTAAAGATTTAAGATTTTCAAAATGTAAACATATGCGGTCATCTAAATTGAATTATTATAATGTGCTTATAAATGAAATTTCATAAGCAGTGTCTTCATAACTTATGGCAGTGCTGCGAATGATGTGATTCTATAGTTACTTTGTTAGAATTATTTTTGAAAAATCTGAATTCTTATCTATTGGGTTCAATCCTCATGTACTTTATGGCATTAATTAAAGGCTCTGAAAATTCATCAATGCCCTGTTGTCCATAATATGCTCTCACTCCAGGGTATGCGCTGACTCACACACACAGACTGACACACTGTGCGCTCTTCCATTCTAACATTGTTGGTAATTGCAATACATTAATCAGAGCTAGTCAGTCTTATTACCCTCACATAGTCGGAGCTTTTTCCATTCATTTATCTGCAGCTCTCTGCTACAAGCTACAGATCATAAATAGAGTCTCCTGGGGGAGGGGGTAAACAAAATTTGGGGCACAGGATTCTCTGTTTAGGTTACCACCGTTACCACAAACTTGCCAGAGTGTATGAAGAACCTAAGACATGACTTCCAGGCCTTTTTTTGTTGTTGTTGTTGTTTTTATCTCTGAGGCAGATGACCTCATGGAAGTAGCTGAACCCAGGACCTTGGAATTAAGGTATAGCTGAAATTAAGCCTGTAACAATGGCTACTAATTTACATTTTGTTTTACACGTTAGCTACTTTTAACTGTGATGTTTCTATTTCATATTTTTATGACCATCTGGATTCTAGGACAAAAATAATTTATACAGCTACTTAGTGTTATAGTCAACATGGCCAAAGCTGAAAGCAAAACTTTAACTGTTGGGTTTAATCTTTGTCTTAAAATACCATCTGTGGCACAATGGGCTCGTAAGTGCGGCAGCCGTGACAACAGAGACGGGAGCTGTGTTTGGGTCCACGAGCATGGGCCTCCGCTCAGCAAACTGAGCTGGCCTCTGTCACGCTGAATGTCCGACCTTCCAGCAAAAGACACCCAAGCTGAGCGCCCAACAGGGCACCATCCCTCAAACCCACCATCAGCTACTTGACAGCCAACTGGTTACCCTGAGTCCCTTCTACTATGGAAGGGACAGCAGCTCATTTTGACTGGAATCGACACCTACTCTGAGTTTGGGTTTCCCTTTGCCTTTTGCAGGGTCTCTGTCAGCACCGCTATGCGAGGGCTTACGGAGTGTCTGACCCACCGACACAGGGCCCCGCCTGACTCTGTGTCAGGCCGGAGAACCCAGCTCACAGCAGTGGAGGTGCAGGAGTGAGCATGTACTTATGCGATGCTCTGGTCCCTTCACATTTCACACCAACCAGAAGCTGCAGCTGACAGAGAGATGGAAGGGTCTTTTGAAGGTGAAACACAGGCTGCAGCTCTGAGGGGATGCCCCGTGAGCACCGTCCTCCAGGTTCAGGGCACTCACTACATCTTTGATCACTGGACAGCACTGTCTTTCCAGGTGAAATACACGGAGGCAGCAAACAAACTGCAGGAGTCAGAGTGGCCGTGCCCACTCCCACTTTCGTTGGCCCACTTGCAGGAATTGTGCTTCTTGACCCCCCAGCTCTGGGCTCGGGGGTCTGAATCCCAGAGAGGGAACTTCTCCACCAGGGACAGAACAAGGGGCCCTTAAAACTTAAACTGCCACTGCACCCAGTTACTACGGGGTCCTTGTGTCATGAGACTACCAGGCAGAGGAAAGGGTCGCCATTCGACAAATCACCATCCTTCATCCCAATGACTAGGTGGAGGTATGGTTGTTACGTGGCAGTGGGGGCGGGAAGATGTATCTGGTGCCAATTGCCCACTGGGGCACCATTCTAATTCTTTGAAAACTTTTAATGATAAATGGACAATCGCAGCAGCCAAG